TCTATTAATATAGATACTTATGTAGATTAAACAATATATAGTAATGTAAATACTTTCATAAAGAATTTTCCCTTTAAATTGAATGAGAGAAACTACATAGTAACTAAAATATATTGTAATAAATATGTTAATAAATATAACTTTAAAAAGATATATCTACTTATATTTATATGCATGTATAATACAGATAATACAAATATTGTTAAAAATATAAAATGTTTTGTTTAAGATTATAATAAAATTATTTTATAAATATTTCTAAAATTATTCTTTTATATTTTATAAAAATTTTAAATAAATTTATAATATATTTGTTAAAATTGATTTCTATAATATATAAAAACATAAAATTAAAATTTAAAATAAAGAATATGTTATCTAGTTTTTAATACAAATTTATAAATATTTTTATTTTTATTTATTTATTTATTTTTTTACATTTTTAAATACTTTTTAAAAAACTATTTGATAATACATTCTTCTTATTTGATACTAAATTTTTCATTTCTGGAACCATGTTTAATGCTTTGTTTAAAAAAGGTTTCCTTTTTCTATTTGGAAACCCTTTGAACCACTCCCATTGGTCAAGTCACCGTCCGGACTGAATCAACAGTTTCTCCGGCAATTTGGCGGGTCAGATTCAACTCGAAATGAACGCAAATGCGAAAATTACACCCCAAGCGACCAATTTAAAGCCATTAAATTATAATTTTGTAAATTTTAAAGAGCCTATGCCCGTTCAGTCCGAGTCGCAGCGACTCTGGAAGACACCCGAACGAACGCATTATTCAATTAGCGTGAAATGCTATTGTTTATTTTCGGAGTAGAATTGCGGCACGTCTTTAGTTGGCTTAGTACAAAATTGAAGCGATTGCTCAACACTGGCGGAAGCAAATGACAAAAAAAAAAACGGTTAATTGTGCGCGAAAAGTGAAAAACTCAACTAGAAATAGAAGTGGATGTAGGTGTGAGATGTATGTGAATGTTTGTATGTGTGTGTAGGTTACGTTTATCTGCTTTAATCTGCGCTTGCAACTGTCCCCAACTGACACTCATAATTAAAGAAACAAATAAAGCACACACAGCATAACAGACGACAACAGCAACAACAGCAACGCCAGCAGCCTCCGCAGTCGCAGCGGCCACATTAACATAGTGCAAGAAAATAATAACAACAACAACAAGGGTAGCAGCAAGAGCAGCAGCAGCGACGACGACGACGGCACTTGTCGTGTCTGCGTCGTCGCAACGTCCGATTTCCAAGACTGCGCAAAGCTTCCAGCTGCTGTCGCTGGCGCTGCGGCTGCGTCTGCGGCTGCGCTGCCTTGACTTTGACTTTGGCTGGAGCTTTTAAGCTGGCGTCGCAGCCGCAGCCGGCGTTGGTAACTTCTTCGTGTCTGCAAACGGCTGCTGTCTTAGTTCTTAAGTCCGTCGTTGGCGTGCTCCTCTTCAGTTCGTTGCTGACCAACGTAACGTGCGGACGTGCCCAGCTCGCCTCCAAACGAACCACAAAAAAGAAAGAAAATTTGAACAAAAAATTGAAAAGAGTAGCGAAGTAAAATACAGTGCAAATTTTAACATTTAATGGTAAAATATATTTGAAAAATATATAAAAATGTATAAAAAATAAGAAAACAGTGCGCGACGCGTGTGCTAAACAGAAAAATACTGAAATAAACAAATAAATAATAATATTAAAAATGAATAATAATAATTAGGTCTAATGTGTTGCATTTAATATGTACGTTATTTTATGCGCCTGGCCAAAAAAGCTGTTCAAGAATTTCACCAACTCGCTTGTGTTGTTGTTGTTGCTGTTGCTGTTACGGTCTCGATCTCTCGTAGAACGTCGCTTCAATGGGGTTTTTTTTGTGTGTTTGCTGTTTGGGGCTGTGACGGCGTTGATTTTGTCCATGTCCAGCCAAAAGGAGATGGAGGGGGCACCTATCTGTGTATGTGTGTGTGGCAGTTGTTGTCCATGTCCAAGGCGCGGCCAGCGGCGACTGTAATTTCTGTCTTGCGCATTCTAAACACACACACTCACACTCGAAAAAGCAAACAAACAAACAAACAAACATGGAACGCAGTCAAGTGAAGACGAGTTGCAGGCAGAGCTGCAGAGCTGCAGAGGAGCGCAGTCAGAGTCAGAGGCAAGCAGATGAAGACACTCCTGCCTTGGCTAGTTTGGGAGGAGATGCAGATGCAACAACTGCTGCAGCAGCAGCAGCAACAGTTGATGCTGCTGCTGTAGCTGCACATGTGTTAGCGCTCTCTCGCTCTAGCACGCTGCATTGCCATATTGGGCGCATAACGGTGCAAAAATCGCGCTGCTTTTTAGCCTCTATCCATGTGTATGTGTCTCTCTCTGTATGTGTGTGTGTGTGCTTCTTTTTATGCTGCCAAGTTTATGTCCATGGCTGCTGCATTGATGACGACCCAGCGACCGATAGACCAACCAAAGTGCGATCAAGCGAAAACCGCAAATACAAAAAAAATGGGGAGGGGAAGAAAAACATAGAATCGAAATAAAAAATGAGCAAGAAAAATGCACTCTGCAACTCCATTTGCAGTTTTGCGGTTGCTTGCAGCAGCCGCAACACTTCTTCTAACTACACACACACACACGCTGCGTGGCCACATGAATTCTGCAGCTGGCACTTGGCATCCTCGACTCGCATCCTGCTGCAGCTCCTGTGAGTGGGTCAGCGTTAGCAATCAATCTTTTGCCCTGCGCTGCTTAGCTGATTGAATGCCTGCCCCTTTGGCAGCGCTTGACGACGCCCCCTGCACTTGCACTTTGACCGCAATGCAAATAATCATCATTTGCCAGGACTTGCTGAGAAGAAGAAGAAAATAACCACTAGCAGCAGCAACAGCAACGTGACTACACTGTGCGAAATTGTGTTTGGTTTAGGGCAACGTAGGAAAATAGGAAAATATAATTAGGAAAAACCTTGTTGCAAGAGTTATTGATAAATTGATAACTTCAGTTAGTATAATGTAATCCTTGAGAATTTTAGATTAAAATTTATTTAAAGTACAGTACATAGGGGATATGGAAGAAACACATACTATATATGGGAATTATATGGGCAAAAGTTAAAGATACTTTCCATGCTGCAGCAAAGTAAGTCCTTCTTAAGGAACTATCTTTGTTGTAATGCAGTTACAGAAAAATTACAGATTTATTTATATATATGTATATATATTCTGTTATTTTTGGCGAAAAATTTCTGTGGTTGCTTTAGCTCTTTTTTCATCCAGATAAAAATTTGAAAAAAAAATTGTTTCAATTTTTTTTTAATAATATATTTTGACTGTGATCAAAGTTTTTATGGTAGCTTCTTTATATAAGGATAGCAAAAATTTACAAATATTTTAGAGAATATTATGAAAATGTTCATAGTTTTTGTTTTTTTATCTTCTTAAACATCTACATCTATATATATACATATTAATATATAATTTTTGGAAGTGAAAAGAGAAAACAAGACATAAATACAAAATTACAATAATGAATTTATTTAAATAAATATATAGAGGATAAAGATAGAAGTTTCTAAGACTGGAAAGATATAAGGGAATATGATGAACTGCATTGAGATAGGCTTAGGTATGTCATTAGTATATTTGCGAGTTATGAATATGAAACATATTAACTGAACTCTCAGTAATAGGAAAAGATAATAACTAGAGTGCTTCGAAATTTATAAATTTTTAAAGTTGTAAAGATGAAACAGGAAATACGGAAATATGGAAAGTAACTAACAATATAAAGAGAAACGTCTCTTTGGCAAACAGCACTATATAGCATATTTATATATACATATCACATATTATATATATACATATATATATATTAGAAATACATATATATATCTTTAACCAACTTCAATCAGAACTTGAGTTGCTCAGAGCATTTTCTCACTGTTCGCAGCGCTATAATTTACAAGAGCATTATTGGTCAATAGGTTATAGCTGTGCAGCATCCAACTATATGTGTGTGTGTATGCCTGCCCCAAGGCATTAGCATAGGCTGACTGCAGTTTAATGGGCCACACAGACAACGTTGCTCACTAATTTTTATGTGCACAGCTTGCGGCTCTTTGGGTTGCAGCCCACTTTAAACGGAACTCTAAGTCAGGCAACGCCTATAAGTTTTTTTATTATTAAGTTATAAAAACTACAGCAACAGCAACAACAACAAGCACAGCATGCACAGAGATCTTAGCTGGGAAGTAGCCCAAATCCGACCAAAAATTGAATGCCGCCTAACGGTTGTGGAGCTGACAGACAACACGCTGTCGTCACATTCCCAAGCACACACATTGCAATAAAATGAGATTTTATAACTAACGAAAAAAAAAGATGAGGAAGACGAAGAAAAAGAGGAGGCAGCCCCAAAAATATTCAAGACAGTTCTATTAAAAAAAAAAATAGACAAAGGTCGTCACAGCAAGTGAAAATAGCGAAGTAGAAAACCAAAAACAATTATGGGCAGCCAGGTGTTAATTTCAAGTTCGTTGCCTAAGTCTTTCGTTTTTGTCGGTGCTTCTTTTTTTATGTTGTAAGTGGAGCGCACGGGCTGCGCCCAGTGAATGCGAATAAGGGGCGTGCGAGCCGGCCGGCAACAGGCTATAAAAAAAACACATTCACATATATTTCATTATTGTTATTATTATTATTATTATTATTATTATTTTTATTATTATTATTTTGTTGTTGTTGAGCTTTGAGCGTACGTTTAACGTTTTCGTTTGGCTTCGTTTCGTTTCGTTTCATTTCCGTTTTGACCCACGTCAAGTTCAAAGGTTGTGAACCACACAACAACAACAACAATAACGAAAATAAATACACATAGCAAAGGCAGCAACAAAAACAACGACAAGGCCAGTTGCATTTGACAACAAACACCTAGCTGGCAACATCTTCTTGGAAGCGAACGCTCTGTGAGAGCAACAACAATAGCAACAGCAACAGCCGCAGCAGCAGCAACAACAATGACAGCGACGCCGACGTCGACGTCGGCTGCGACGAGAAAGCAACCTGCAAATAGCGCGTTGCTCGGCGAAGCTTTTACGGTTAAGCGGCTTTTAGCGGTAAGTCCACATGAATAAAACAACAAATACAACACGCAGCCACTTACACACACATACACTCACGCATACCTAGCTATGCACTGCAGTGTTGACAAACATCGCTCAATTTGCAAAAAACCCATTGATCGGCGTCAAACGGGGTTGCCACATCATTTCATATTTTTTGGGGCGTTGCCAATGCGAACTGCTCCCAAAAAAAAAACTTCAATTATTGTCAAAGCATTGTTCAGCATAAAATATATTTCTATATTTACCTTTTGGCGTGGGCTGTTTCGGCATTTACTTAAGTTCGCCTTTGACTTTGAGCGTGGGCCGTTGGCCAAGTTTTTACAGCTGTTACAGCTGCTTGAGCTGAGTGTGTGAAAGAGCTGTGAAGTCGGCCATTGGGTCAAACGCTGTCTGATAGATGGCCAAGGCGTCGATGCTGATCATCATCATCTTCCTCTCTACAACTCTTTCAGTTAGCTTAACTGTTTGCCTAGCAGGGCGTCCGTCACTTCAGCTCTCTGAATAATGTACGCAAATTAATCTAATAAAAAACGGTGGGAGTTACACTATTTTTTTTTCGGATTTAGGTTTGGGAACAAAAGCCCTTTATGCCTTACCTGGCTCTGTCACTGGCACGCCAGCCAACTTAAGATTTGAATTATTAAAGCAATAAATGTTTGTTGAAAATGGCTGAGAACAAGAAATGTGCATTTCATAAATGTGGGGTAAAAGCGTATTCCAATTAATAATAGGAAGAGTTGAAGGCGAAATTGAGATTAATGTAAAAGAAATGTTTTTTTTAAATAATAGAAATACTTTTTATTAAGATAAGCTAAGCTAGAGCCAAGTATTATCATTTATATTTTAAAAAATATATAGGAAAATCTATAAAAGTGAACTGATTAGAAGACATAATATTATAACATATATATATACATTTTATAAGACATAAATATTCATATTATCAAGTATGTATGACAGAGTTCATAATGCTGTAATCATTAATCTTTACCTTTTCGAATTTTCAATAAAAAATTTTTGCATATACGAGGTCTGCTTGATAAGTAATGCAAAATATTTGTTTTTTTTTTTAAATAATTTTTTATATGTTTATGAATATTTATTAAAAATGGCGGAACTTAACTTATAATTAATAAGTAACAAAAATTATAAAAAATTTTAATATACAAAAATCAGTTTAAAACATATTAAAGATACTTTTGAACAGATCAGAGTTTTACACTATGTTTTGAGACATGATATATTTATATAAAATATTAATTTGACTTGTGCAAATTATCTTATTTCTTTTGGATACCTAACAAAGCTCTTTAATTCTGGTTTTAAGTTTTTTAGGTAAAGACTTTTAAGACTTTAGGTCTTTTGACATTTCAACTAATTTATATATATTTTTCATATATTTATTTATGCAATTTTTGCAACTCATGAAACATTTTTGAGCACTATATATCAAATTAGTATAAGATATTAATAACAATTATTTAGATCTTTTCATTTTAAAACTGTAATTTCTGCCAAAGATCTTCATGTCTGATTCGTTTCTTTCGTTTGCCATTATATTCATTTATATCTATTTTTATTCTTTATACTATTGCATGTGATATATGTTCTCTGATCAATGATATATTCAAATAAAATATTACATGCAAATCAATCTATGTATATATCAATATATAAATATCAATATTTGTAACTAGTATATAATGTAATTTCTTCAGTCTTGAATTTTCTTTCTTATGCAATTCATATATATATATATATATACAATTATATATATATATATATATATATATATATATATATATATATATATATATATATATATATATATATTCACCATAATTTTCTTCGACCTGTGCCAAAAACGTAACGTAATTATTTATATTCACATTTTTGTTGTTTGCTTAGCCGTTGTTCGGGCTTTGCCCTGGTCAGCAGCCTCTTCACCTGCATTTTAGCCGGGCAGCTGCTTGGCCAAAGGTCAGCAGACAGTCTGGCGCCCAACGATCATTAAACAAAACACAAACTGCAACAGCAATAACAACAGCAGCAACAACAACAGCAACAACAACAGCAACAATTGTAGGAAAGTAATTTGTAAAACACGAAAAATGATTTGCTGTTTTTGTTGCAGTTGCTTCTGGCTGTTGCCGCTTGGTCCTGCTGCTGTTCTTTTACGACGCTGCAAGTAAATTACGTGTGCCTGGCACCGGGGCGTGCGTTCAACTTCTTCATTAGCGTTAAAATTGCAAGAGTTGCCGTAAACAAAATATAAATCAAGCACTGCCTCGCCAAATGAATGATGTGCGTGTGGAAGCTGTATTATGATGGCAAATCCTGTCAGCCAATAGCTATTAGCATCCTCTTACCATATGCCATATACCATATACTATATATACATATATATTTCGGCTGTAGTTAAACAGTTATTTCTTGCACTTGAAAGTTTGCTGCTAGCCAAACAAAAGCGTCTGGCAATGAAAGTAACTTGAATGCTTAATGGGTCAACCTGCCACACGGTCAGAGAGAGAGAGACAGGGATAGAGGGAGAGAGAACAAGTCACAGGTATAGGTAGTCTTTCATATGCTTTGGCCACTCTAATGGGCCAACAACAATGATCACATTCTCTGCTCGTGCTTAAAAGCCACTCTAAAGCATAATTAAACAATTTTTTTATTGACTCTTTTCTTTTATATTGATGCTGCCGCTGAGAATTCAGAATTGAGAATGGAACTGGGATTCTGTCTCTATCTCTGACTCTGACTCTGTCTCTGCCTCTTTCGATGCTTTTTAAACTGCTGCCGGTTTCCATTCTTTTACAGCTCGAATAGCAATTGCTGCTGCTGCTGCTATTGAGTGTTTTGTTATGAGCTCACGTTTAGTTTTGCGGCTTGTGTCAGCTAAAGACAACAACAGCAGCTACAAAAATTCAATTGAAAATAAGTAGAAATTGTGGTTGTTAAATGATTGTTGGAAAAAAGTGCATAAGGCCAAATTCTAACTGTAATATAGATATATATACATTCATTTAGACATAGAAAAAGAGGAAGTGAAATTCAATTCACTTAAATGTGGCAATCATAGAATAGAGTTTTATATAGCTTTATTATAGATTTTGAATATAAAGAGGTTAACTCTGGTGAAGCTGAAGATTTGCTCAGATTTGAGCACAAAGTGGCTGCGAGTTGCAGACTATATAATATGATTGAATGTAATATCTGAAAGAAGTTGTGAATGTGTGAATTCTTGGAGATTTTAAGCTGGAAATTGTCTTAGTTCTGATTTTTTTAAATATGAATTAAATTGATTTAAATTATTTTGATATAATTTTATTATAATATGATGGCTAATGTAAACATGATGGGTCATAGATATCTGACTTGTAGTTTTGAAGAAACAAACATGAAATGTTATGATATAAGTTTTATGATATAATATTATGATATAATTTTTATGATATAAGTTTGTCTAGATAATAAAGGAATGGTAAGTTGGATTTTCTATTATTTATAAAATTAAAAAAAACCTGAACTGGTCATATAATGAATACAGATGCTAGAAATAAAAATAGATCTACATACATTTATGTAACTAATAGATTCCAGAAATGAAAAGAAATCTATTAATTTCTAGGTGCCTCAAAAATACATTCATAAATTCCTCTTCAAGATTTCTCATCTTGAAAATTATTAACAACAAACTCATAAAAATAACTTTTGAAACAATATATGCAACAATTAACTGACTAGCAACAATATCTGTGCAACTAGCATGAGTTGCATACAGGTTCAACTTCTTTTTTCACAACAACAACAACTAACTGTAAACTTATGTCGCAAGTTGTTAAATTTGTTGGCAAAGAACTTGGCTTGCTAGTTTTCCACTGCCATTTGGGATTCCTTTTGGAATGGACTTGACGCGGAGCGGCGAGAGGCATATCTATTACAATTTAATGCTGTCATTGAATTTAATGCCTCAGCAAATTTGAGCTGGAAATCAAATGAAAATATAATTACACAAATCAGATGGCGCAGTACCGTTTCATTTTCTATTATCCAACCGGACTATGCAAATAGATATTGTTACTCAATCCAAGCAGAGAGTGGGCGATGGGCGGGTGGCAGGTGGAGCTTAGTTGGCATAATTAATGGTGTGTGGCGCTTAACACTGGCCGAGTGCATTGTACTCTGCTCCGCATTGTATCTTTCAGATACACACGTTCTAACTGCAAACGGCCCAAAAGATACAAGCGCCAAGAACTGTATCTGAATTGTGTTACAGTACCCTTTGCAGCTGCTGTTGTTGTTGCTTTTGCTGTTGTGTTTAATTATAGAGAGCCCAAATGGGTTTGGCTCTTTCAGATCTGAGTTGAGCTGAGCTGGGATGGGCTGGGCGTGTGTGTTTGTGTTCAGGCAACTGTTAATTTTGTTTTACAACTTGTGCTTGTATCTTTAGAGCATCTATAACGTGTTCGTCTACTTATCTGACTAACTGTCAGTTACAAACATACACGCGTAACACACACACACGCACACACAGCTCTTCATTCATAAAAATAGTAGCTACAATAATATTGTATCTCTTGGTTTGGTATCTTGTGCGATTTTCGACTACGCAAACTACAACTTCATGGCCAAGACTTTTGGCTAACGGCAATTTCGTGTGCTCAAACAATTAGCTTGGTTAGTCCGTGTTGGCTAACTCTTCACGCTGTGCAAATTTTATGCTTGGCTAACTATTAAATTGTTGATTAACCATAATTCTTATATCATCTGCATTTTACAACATAATTATATAAGATCTATGAATTTAATCTTGTAGCATCATGATGTAGCATGTTTTAGACGCTCAGCTATCATATAATTTGTAGCAGATTAGAGTGGATTAATGTTTTATGAACGTGTTTTTCTACGGGACTTGAGTGAAATATTAGAGAACGGAAACTGTTGGCTCATCTGTGTTGCACATTAGAAAGTTTTGTGGAATGGATTGTTATTTGATTGCTAGATTATGTGGTCTAATAGCAAAGCAACATATTGATTCGAAGAACTTTTACGACTTACACTATTGTATCTGAATTGAGTAGCTTGTGAGAGTGCTTAGGGTAACTAACTAGTTCATCTACTCTAGTAACTTCTCTAGAAACTAAATAGTAAAATATATTTTTTAGGGTTCACAGAATGAGAGGGGGTTCAAGAGTTAAACAATATTTAGTCTGATCTAGTATCTAGTATTATATAATATGTATTATTAAGTAGGATCTAGTATCTAGTATGTAGTCGGATCTAGTATCTAGCATTAAATAGCAGTTAATAGTTACTATCTAGTATCTAGTCGTATCTATTATATATATAATTCCCTGTAAACTCCATTAACAACTTGAAAGATATCTTTTTATTTGTTAACTTTTTATTTCTGCTCTGCCCTTAAACGAAAATCTAAATAATTCTTATTTATTTTTAATATTCTTTCAGATTTTTGTCATATGCACACTGCTCAACACGAGTCAGGCTTTGGAGCTGGGAGACAAGTGCCAGCATGACATGGACTGCACAGATTTCATCAAGGGCAGCAGCTGCTCAGCTTTGGGCTACTGCGAGTGCGCGCCCTACTTTGTCCAATTGGACTCCAAGCGCTGTTTGTCATGTAAGTCAATCTTTGAGTAACCCCCATACCAAAAAACGTCTCTATTGAAGACGTTATTGTTTGTTTGTTTGTCTGCAAATAAAAGTGCTTCAGTTGTTTGCATAAATGCAGAAGAGCCGTTACTCATATAGCACATAACTTAGCTCGTATCTCGTTTCTTTAACTGCAGCTCAACTACTGGGCGGCGATTGCCAGGTGAGCGAACAGTGCTCGATGAAGGTGGCAAATAGCAGCTGCTTGGACGGTGCCTGCCGCTGCGTCGAGGGATTCTTGCAGTTCCGCAAGCACACATGTCTGGGACGTAAGTATCAGACAACTGTTGATCAATTGTGGCCCTAATTGCATGGAATTTCATAATTACAATACATCAATAATGACGTTCGTTCAACTTCATTTTGTTTTGTTTTGTTTGTGTTTCTTTTTTCGCAAATTGCAATAAATGCTCAAAAAAAATAACTAAAAATGTTAAGAATGGAACTTTGATTGCTTATCGTCTAGGAATTACATGCACGAGCAGCCTATACATATATCGTTCCCTTCATATCTACCATCTCTACAATATATATATTTTGTTTTTCCAATCTGTTTAACCATCGCATTTCACTCATTTCCGTTTGATTGTTTGACGTTCGTTAACACTTCTAAACCAATTTTCCTTTGGCTATTGCCGCCACTACTTGACACAAACAATTAACATCACTATAACAATAACAAAAACAACAACAACAATTGCTACTCATGAGCTAACAAGACAATCGTGTCACTAATTACACGCATAATTGGTTAATTTCCCAAGAATCGTGGAACGAGCCATAAGCCGCTGCATACCTCAAGTTTTTTACCTTTCCAATTTTCCACTTTTGAGTTTCATTTTGAATACGAAATGTGAATGTAGAGGAGCTATTGAGTTTGTTTTAGTGCTTGTCTCTTCGGTAACGGAAGTGGGCATTGCTTGTGTATTCAGTGAAAAGTTATCACGTGTAAAACAATATCAATATAGTTTAGTTTACATCAATCAGTTGGCATTGAGCAGCCATTGGCTTTAGCTAGAAGTATGAGATAAACTATAGTTTTTATAAAATATATGGGCTATATATTATTAATAAAAAAATATGTATGCATATATATATTAAATATAATAAGTATATAATATAAAAAATATATTCAATATATATTTTTAAATTTATTAATATGAAATATAAATAAATTTAATAAAATCTAGATTTAAATAAATCTTGCATTTTTTAAATTTATTTATTAAATTAATTATCTATTGAAAAATAAATTTAAATAAATATACTATTTTTTCAACATATTTATTATTTGTATATATATTTTTTTAATGTTTTTTTATAAATATATAATAAATAAATATATATACATATATAAATACATACATATATATATATATATATATATATATATTTTAATTTATTATTATTATTTATTATTTTGTAATTTTTTTAAAATTTATTTTCAACATTATATTTTTTACATGTATATATAATTTTTTCATTAAATTTTTGTTTCTTTTTTTTTAACTTACTTCCCAGAAGACTTAATTAATTTTTAGCAGCAATAAATTTAGTTAGCGTGCTCTAGCTTAAATAAAAGTTTGCGATTTGTGCTAGAGATAAAAATGTTATTTTTTCTTGTTCATATCAGACAGAGAAAATATTAAGACATACAAGCCATTTTTTGTTAAGATAGATGGCCTACTGAGTATGGCTATAATTGATAGTAAGCTAGGTGCGATGTCTTATCGCTTGGATGTTGGGAAAGTTTATTAAAGATTATGTAAAAGTTTCGTATTAGACTAAGCTTAAATTAGCAAGTTCTTGCGTTGCTGAATTCTCTGAGTTATTGGAGTTCTTTAACAGCAATCAACTTGCTAATGCTTTGGCACATAACTCATATTAGAGACGGAAGTCGTATGCAGTTTCTTCTTTTTCGATAGTTGGAAGCAAAAAAAAATCTATTAAAGATTTTTGCTTAACTAGAATTAGAATTAGAATAGAATCTCTACCAATAATTTTATTGAACAGTCTTTGAGTCACACACAGTTTACCAATATATAACAATAAAGTTCTGTTTGTCTTCGAATAAAAATTTCCTAGAAACTTCCCTTAATAAAGAAATTTTCCAATTAGCTTTTCAAGTGTGCTTCACTCATTAGCCAAATGCAGTTTCATGAGTAAAAGAACTACACAAATGAGATCGAGCCATTAGTTAAATGCCAGTTCCATTAGATGTTTGCTCAGCATTCGAGTTGTTCCGATTTTGATCAATGGCTGAGGTCGCATTCCCGCCGTGTGTTGGCACATTGGCGCCTAATGGCGTTAATCTGATTAGAATGTTTCGATGTGAGACTGACTGAGTTCGAGCTGCTCAGCTGGCTGCTTGCGGTACATTTGTTTGCCCTGCTACTTAGCGTTCACGACAAAGAACACGATCGGCACTTCGACTACGACTTTGACTGCAACTGCGACCACAAACTGTAACAGTCAACAGAAGTAGCAGCGGCAGCAGCAGCAGCAGCAGCAGCAATTGCCTAGAGTTCGTGTCTTTGCCATTCACCTGTTGCTGCATTCTACTGCGACATAATTATACCGCATTTAAAATCTACTGAATGCAAAAGACGCCCAGTGGGCGTGGCACGCCAGCTGGCAACTGGCAACTGGCATTGCCTGGCTTTAATATTTAATTAAAATAATTTTAATGACATGTGGTCAGGTCGGCTGCTTGCAGCCAGCTAAGCGAATTGCATGCCATTTATGAGATACTTTCACCAAAAAATAAAGAAATAAAGAAATAAAGAAAGAAAGCAAAGCAGGCACAGCTAAGAGAGGAGCAGAACCTTTCACCAGCAGCAGGTCCTGTGACAGCCTCAGCTTCGATTCGTATCTCTCTCTCTCTGTGCCTGTCTGTATCTCTGCTTTACATGCCTAATTGCCAGAGCTGCTTTTGTAATTAAATTGCACTGATTATGTGAAAAGAAAGCCAGCGACACGGTCAAAGAAAGTCCAATTAGCGTAGCAGCAGCAGCAGCAGCAGCAAGAGCTTCCAGAACTCTGGCTCAGAATGCAACTGCAACTGCAACTGGAACTTCTGCTGCAGCAGTTGACTCCTGTTTTGCACAGTTGACAAACGTTCACTACACTCCCTCTATCTCTCTCTCTCCATCTCTGTCTGTCCCGCTCCCTCTTGGGTCAAGTTGAGCAAGTGCTGTGCCAGATTTGGCGCTGTGCAGGCTTTCGCTGTTGTCGCCGTGCCACTTGTTCCAGTTTCCCATGCACCTTAACCCAAAGCCTCTAAAACTCAAGCCCAAGCCCATTTTCGGGAAAACTTCGTGTAGACGTTGCCAGCTCTCTTAACGAGCCCCAAGCCAGCCAGCCAGCCAGCCAGCCAGCCAGCCAGTCAGTCAGCCGGCCAACAGGCTGATCTTTATGAGTTATGCACACATATGACAATGTTTACCGCTTTGTCCAGCAGAAATGTATGCCAGGCCAAGCAAATATAATGAACAGATATACATATATACATTTATATATCCAGACAAGCGGCAAACAACGTACGGTAGAGGCAGAACGTGGCCAAGACAAAACTCTGCAAATGCAGTTCGAGAAATTTTTAGATTGAGATCTCGCGCGCTCTGCTCTGCTTTGGTTTGGTTTGGTTTGTTGATTTGCATACAAAGTTGCAGCAAAAGTGAAGCCAATGAATGTTGTTCATTATGAATCACTTGACCGCCATCGCTTAAATAACTGCACTTGTTCTGATTTATCTGATTGCTTTTTAGCTGAAAACACACTATGGAAGAAGCTGCACAAGAAAGTTGTTCAATTTGTTTTGGCCAACAAAGGCGGAGAGCAGAGCTGAAATGTCGGCACTTATTGACTTAAATATGAATTGTCAAAAAACTATTTAGATTTGCAGTCCTAAAATCCACTTGGAAGTACTTTTCATAAAGCTTTATAGCACATTAAATAAGACTGATGTTTGCACATTTCAGACATTCATCTTCCCATTCCCTCAATCTTGGCATCTCTCACTTCAATGAATCATGGCATCTACTCTTGACTAACAGCTAGACTGAAAGCACTAGAGATTTCTAGCTATGACAATATTGATAGTCAATATGAAATATGGAAGTAAAGCTTCCAATTCAGCAGTCAAACTTTTGAGCCTCTGCTACTTTCTATGTGACTCAAGCTTGAAGTATGCTGTGAATCTTAAGGCTAGGCTAATTTATACAAAATAGAGGACTTAGATTTAGTATGCAAAATAGATTTGTATCTTAAAATTTGCTTTTATATTTAGTATGCAACTATCAAAATATATATATGTATATTTATTTAAATTTTTGATATGTTGAATCTATATGTTAGACTTGGTGAGGAAGAGAGATAGTGTGGTGCAGCTGTTGAATTGGTAATGATGGGTTTTTTGGTTCAATAATATACTTAAATATTTCTATTTGAATATTTTATACTTAAAAATTTTTATAATTCAATATTTTATTTTTGTCCTGTTTTGCTTTAAACCTCAAAATATCACAGTCAAAGTATTTGAAAAAATTATTTTAAAAAATGTTTTATTTTATAAAAAAAAATATATTTTCTTATAATATATTTTTGACTTACGATTTAGTTTTTCAGAAAATAAAATCGAACATATTAGTCTAGTAAACTCTTCAATGAAAATTATACACATTATGCAAATTTTTGACCATTCTTTTGGGCCACTCAGAAAAACCTCTCACTTTTGCCCAGTGCAAATTAAAGTCTTTAACATCGATTTAAATGCGCCAAATTGTTGTTGGTCAGCGTAAAACACTTTCCATGCCACACAAACAGCATTTCATTTCATTCCATTTCGTTTGACCGCTTTACAAAATTATAATAAGAAGTAGAAAAACAAAAGCAAAAAAATAAAAAAAAATAGATACAACTGTGTTAATTTGCGCTGTGGGGGAAATGTTTTAAACATTTGTCCAAATTGCGCCAGAAGCCAAATTGCATGCAAATTATGTGGAACAAATGGTTTGGAGACCAGTTTTTCTGCTGCTGCCACTTCCTCAAACAATAACACAAGCAAATGCCATAATAATAAAATAGAAAAGAAAAGAAAATTGCGAAAGAGTTGAATTGCAAGATTGACAAACGACGCCCAAACGCTCGACTTCAAATGAAACCGAATTCCAAAATGCAAATGGCTGCAATTAATTAGAAATACCAGGAGGGGGTTCCACTATATTTTTGTTGCCGTTGTTGTTGTTGTCTTTCCTGCTTCTTTTTTATGGCCATTATTCGCAATGAAAGTTGGCAGCACAAAATTAACATAAATTGAGTTATTAAAGCCACAGGAATGCGACACTAAATGTTGCAGCTCGGTTTAGCTTGACACAGTTTTTCTCTATTTTTTCTTAATATTTTTATTATTATTACTTGGCTGCAATGAAATTTTATGCTGATTTTGATGAGAGAATTTTTGTTGCTTATGATGTGTAGCGGGAGCTGGTAGTAAATGCAGCATCAGCTGCGATTCGACTCACAGCATTTTCACACGCGCAAACCGTAATCGAAGTGGGTTACCAGATGCAGTCGTGCCGCATTCGCATGCAACCTGTCACACCGGTGCGCCCGGCCAGGCGAGATGGAGAGACACACAGAGAGACCCAGCGCGAAGGGGTAGAGGAGGTTAAATGGCCATGGCATTGCCCCAGCTTATCGATCATTGCTGCACAGAGGCGTCGTCAGAGTCGACCGCGGTGGGCTAACCATTGTTGATACAACTACTAAAAGTGAAAGAGCATTTGGCTGGCTTGCTTGCTGGCTCCACGGCACTGCCTTCCATAATGGTGTCAAGCTGTACCATGAGAAAGAGAGAGAAAGAGCAACTCTCTCTCTCTCTCTCTCTATAGCTACTCGCGTTTGGAATGGCTGGCCATAAAGTCAGTGTCAGGGAGTCAGCGAGTCAGCAGCCGGGCCAGCGTCAGTGTCAGCGGTGCATTCGTTAAGTATACGCCATGTATGCGCCTTTTAAGTGCAGAGGCCAACCGGTTCCGCCAAATAACAGCCAATGCTCAAAATACCTTTGTGAAAAGCCGCCAACGTTTGACTCTTTGTCAGCCAAAAAAAAAAAAAGAGCTAAAAACCCAAACTTCTTCTTCGACTGCGACTCCGCTACTGCGGAAAATTCGTGGCGACGCTCTGCCTGGCTTTTCCAATGGTCACAAGTAGCAGTCACAAGTACTTATCCGTTATAAGTATTTGAGCACTTGTCACGTGTCCGTACCTTTAGAGGAGTCACGCTTTTTGATGGCTCTATTACATGCACTTCAATCAGCTGCATATCTCTAGCATATTTCTGAAAGTCACTCACACTCGAAATTCTCAACTAACATCGGTTTCTTAGCAGCCTTTCTTCGTCAAGTACTCGCTTAATTTAGCTAGAGTTTAAGTGAAATAACAGTTACGTGACAGTGATATTATCGAGACTCACTTAAGTTATAAATACTTCCAACTCTCTAGCCAGTGTGACTAGCTGCGACTGCATGGCAAATATGAATGCAAATAAGTGTCGAGTAAATCATGGTTTAAAATCAAATAGAAAAATAGCAACAAATATTTTTTATTTAATATTATTTAATAAATCATTTTTGTGCTATTAGCAATTTTTGAATTATTTTATTTTATATTTTATAAACCACTTTTAATTGATTTAATTCATTTACTTTTGGCTTGCTACATTTTGTGCTGCTAGAGTTTCATAGCAATCAGCCTGAACAAATAGAAAAATAGCAAAAAATATTTATTTATTATATTTAAATGAATATAGCTTTTTTGAGCTATTAGCTATTTTTGTACTATTTTTTTTATATTTTTTTATATTTTTTTATATTTTTTTTAATCAACTTTTACTTAAGTAAACTGACTTTTAGTTTGCTACATAGTGTGCTGCTTGAGTTTCATAGCAATCAGCTTGAAAAAAGCTGTCAGCTGCTGTCGCCTAGCTTATAAAGAGGTTTCTGTATTGATAGGAGTGGAGTATACGACAAGATGTTAGTATTCCAGAATAATCAATATATATATTACACTGATGCTACAGCTAAAGCTCTAGGTAATTTGTCGTCATTTTGCTAACCTTAGCATGTCCAAAAAAGGGCTTAAAGCACGACAAGTAGGACTAATAAAATAAAATTTTCCTTATAAGGTCTTAGTCGTTGGCTTTAATTTATCATAAATATAGCTAGAGCATACCTAGGCCTTGGTTATTACCTATATTCATACTTGAAGTCAGTCTAAGCTCAGCAAAGCTTTTAGTAATATCTAATAATTTCAGAGCAGTCTAATCCATATTCCCCAGTAATCCCACACACTATAGTCACATAATTCACTATTCCAATAGCTACACTGCAAATGAGCGAGTCACAGTTTAGCTTGAGCCAGTCACAGTTTAGCTCGAGCCAGTCACAGCTTAGTTACTCAGCTCCAATGAGTGCCGCTTGTCATGGCAATGAAAATTGGGGCGCCTCGCCGGCTCTGACAGTCAGTTAACTGCATTCTCAGCACAGCTGAGCTCAACTTGGCCTCAGCCTAGACGCAGCCCTAAGGGCAAGCGAGTGCAGGTGCAGTTGCAGTTGCAGTTGCTGCTGCTGCTGCTGCTGCTGTTGCTGCTCTTACCAGTTGCCGTTGGAGTTGCCACGCCAAAAGTTAAAACGAAACAAGTGAAAACAAGTTGAGTGCCTGCAGCAGGCCCGGAAAGTGGGTCACCGCAGCCACAGAGAGCAATGCATAAAAGAGGAGTCGCTAAGCAGCTAACTGAGATTCAGATTCAGGTGGCTGACAGTCAGCCAGGCAGGCAGGCCAGTTATGCGCAGTAGCCATATCGGGCGGGCGCTTAAGCGATGGAATGCTGAATGATGAGCAGGGTACATGGGCAATGGGAAACGGTAATGGAGAATGCCAAATAGATGGATGGGGAGGGGCGGCGGGGGGTTCTTTGGGCGACGTCATCGCTATGCGTGGCAATGCTGTTGCAGTTGACTCCATTGACGGTTATTAGGCATGTTGAAGGCGGGCTAATGCCTTCCAGATTGTTGGCATAATACTCGTTGCGAACAACCGATTGTTGTTGTTGTTGTTGTTGTTGCCGCTGTTGCTGTTATTGTGTTCACATTGCTGTTCTGGTTGATGATGATGGGTTTTTAATATGCATTTGGTGGCTGTTGCAACAAATTTACGGTTAGTTTAATAACAGAACGTGCAGCACAGCCCCAAATGGGGGCCATGCGAATCTCTCACTCGCCGCATATCTGACTAACGCTCTAACCACTTCTCCTACCTCTTTTCGTTGCAGCGGCTCATCCTGGCGCCGTTTGCTATAGCCATGCCCATTGCCAAATGTTTGATACTCGCACCCACTGTGATTTCCTCATACCGAATCTGTTTGGACGTTGCCAGTGCACGGCGCCAACACGCATGGTGGCTGGGCTGTGTGTGGCACCAGCAGCCGATGAGACAGCAACACCTGCAGAGGAGAAGCCCATTGAAAAGGCTTCCACAACGACGACAACAACAACTCCAGCGCCTACAACAACACGCACAACCTCAGCACCCACAACAACAACAACAACGACGACGACAACAACAACAACTCCAGCACCCACCACAACGAGAACAACTTCTGCGCCCATCTTGCAAGAGGATGAGATTCCCGCCAGCGTGGAGGAGCAAGCATTGGAAGAAGATGATATGGAAGCTATAAAGCTGCGGCCACAAATCATCGATGTGGACAATGGCGAGAAATTCGATCCTGTGGATCATGCGCATGAGGAAACCGAGTTGACTCTAGAGGAGAATCAAGCGAAGCCGGAAGCTGAGCAAGCACAACCAGAGGAACAGCAAAAGGAAACTGAGTTGGAAGCCGACCACATTCCGGCCATCCTTGAGCCAGAGCAGCCTGAAACAGTTGACGAGGCAGCAGCTGAGCAGGAACAACACCCCGTCGAGGAACAGCAGCCAACAACTGGAGCTCAGCAGCTGTTGACACCAGCCGATGTGGCTACCGAAGCCATGGAAGCTGTGGAACACGAGACTGAAGCAGTACCCGCCTACGACTATCCTTACAAGATTGATGAGGAGTACGCTGAGGAGCATGAGATCAAGCCTGAGGCCGAGCCAGAGCCAGAGCAGGAGACAGTGCCTGAGTCAGAGCCGGAACTAGAGGTAAAACCAGAATTAGACACAGAGTCAGAGACAGTGCCAGAGCCGCAGATTGAGGAGGAGGCGGCACCAGCACCTGCAACGATCAATGAGCCAATTGCTGAAGAGGAGCTTGAGGCATCTGGCGCACAAGAAATTGCGCCAGCAACAGCAGACGATACCATGAAATTTGATTATGAAACCGAAGAGCAACAACAAAAACAACAAACGCCTCAACAGCAAGAACAACAGCAGCACGATGAGGTGGCATCTACGATAGGCACGGCGCCCATTGAGAAGGAGGAGGAGATCAGCAGCGAGACTGATGTGGCGGCAGCCACAGAGCATTATCAGCAGCTGCAGCTGGAGGATGAGAAGGAGCTGACGACTAGCGATGCTGATGATGATTTGATACCCGTGCATGGCGAAGAGGTGGCGGAAAATGAAAGTGCAACCAATGTGCCACCAAGGCTGCCAGAGATAGAGCCTCTGAACGTTGAGCAGGAGGAGGTGGAGCAATCGGGCGATCATGAGATGGAGACGGAGCTGGCGCCTCAGGCAGAGGCGGAGATAGAGGCTGAAGCACAGGAGGAAACCAAGGCAGAGGCAGAGACGGAGACACGGCCACAACAAGCTGACGTCACAGCAGTCAATGATGATGAAGAAGTGCAGCCAGCCAAGCAGGCAGAAGAGGAAGAACAGCAACACGACGAACTGCAGATCGCAACAGAAGCAACCGAAATTGAGGAGCCAGCGAAACTGATGGACAGCGAAAGCCCAGCAGCCACAATTGGCAATGAAGCAACGCCAGAGTCAGAGCCAGAATTGGAAAAGGAAAATCAAGTGGTAGAGGAGACAGAGAAACCTGACCAAGCTGCTGAAGCCGCAGAAGTCGAGGTGGCAACAGAAGCCGCGGTAGAGCTTGAGAATGCAACTGAAATCGAGACAGAAACAGAAACAGAAACAGAAGCAGATGCGGAAGAGGAGAAGGAGAAGGAGACGGTGGCAGAGCTGGAGCTGAAGCTGGAGACTACAACCGATCAGGCAGAACAAAGCGCCGACATTAAGCCGACAAGTGGCGAAGATGATTTAAATGAAGCCAATCAATTAAATCAAGAGCAAATCGCGGAGCAAAAACCAGACGAAGCCGAAGCTGAATCAACAACTGAGCAGCAAGTGAACGAAGAGCCGGCGGTGCAGAATGTGGAACATGAGATAGAGACAGAAAGCCAGACGGAGCTGGCAATGGAGATGGAGCCAGCTGCTGAGGTGGAGGCAATCAGCGAAGCGCAACACGAAGAATCGACTTACCCAACAAATGATGATGAATTGGCGCCAGAGCAAACCACAGAGCAGGTGGCCACAGCACAAGACGAAGAGCTGGCACATGATGAGCAGGAGCTGGAGGAGACGGCGGCAACAACAACTGAACCAGAAATTTTGCAGCAGCCAACAGCAACAGAAGCAGCAGCAGCAGCAGCAGAGGCTGAGCTAAATGCAAATGCAATTAAGACGCCCGAAGTGTCGGAAACAATTGCAGAGCCAGAGCCAGAGCCAGAGTCAGAGCCAGAGCCAGAGCCAGAGCCCGAGGCAGTGCAGGCAGAGCAGTTAGACAACATTGCTAATGATGAGGTGTCGCATGTGGATGAAGTCGAGGAGCTGGAGTCGCAGCATGCAGATGATGTTGAAGGTGTGGTAGACGCTGCCACTGAAATACCGACAGAGGCATTGCCAATTAAGCACGATGAGCTGCAGGAAACCGGCGACGCTTTGAAGGAAACCGAACTCAATATCAAGACGGAAACTGTCACCGAACGCAGTGAAAGTGGAGAGCTAGCTGAAACGGAAATGGACAAAAATGAAAATGATAATATCATACAAGGAGCGGAGCCAAATGTGGACCAGCAGCCAATCAAGGCCACGTCAGCTGAGGCGGAGTCTGCAACTGAGCAACAGATCAAGCTAGACGAAGCGGAGCTGCAGCAGCCAGAGGCTACCATTGACGAGACTAGCATGGAGCAGACGAAGGAAGAGTTGGAGAGTGTCCAAGCAGAGACAGTGACCGAAGCAGCCGCTGAAACGGAGCCGGCAGCCACACAGCTGCCTGAGCTGGTCGCTGAGGTACCAATTGTCAGCGAGGAACAGACCGCAGATGACTTCAAGGAAAGCGAAAGCGTTGCGGGCATACTTAACGACCTGATGCTAGAGGGCGATAGCACAGTGCCTCCAGTGCCGTTCGGAGAACAGCCAGCGCAAACCATGCCTATGCCAGCAGGCGAGAAGCCAGAGAACATGGACGAGGATCAGGATCAGCAGCAGCAGCACCTGGAGGAGACAGAAGTGCCAGCCATACCCGATTTGCTAGCAGAGGCCGATGAACTGCACGAGCAGCAGGAGCAGCCCGAAGACATGGAATCAGAAGCAGTGCCTGTTACTGAAACAGCCAGCAATGAGCTGGAGGACAAGCTAATTACCTTCTATCCCGAGGTGCCAGTGGAGCAGGAGGGTCAGACAGCAGTGACAGCTGAGGTGCAGCCAGAGTCAACCACATTCGAGACGGAAACTGAAGCAGAGCCAGAACGCACATTGTCACCCGAAGAGCTGCCCTTCGACCTGAGCGACAACTCTGGTCCGATCAGGCTGCAGGAACTCGAGTCGGACAGTCTGATTGTGGAGTCCACCACGCTGGACACACAGCTCGATCAGAACAATCACATTGAGGAGGTGAATGCGCCCGTCAGTCAAACCGACGAGGAAGCCACGCCCAACCCGGCAGACATTGTTGAGATCACCACACAAACAATGCTCGGCTTGGCTAGTCGTGTCACGCTCATGGAACCCGCGGCTCCAGTGGTGACTACCCTGAAACCTCTGATGACATCAGAGGAGGCCACACCCCTGCCAGCTGTCAGCTACCCATCTGAGATTCCAATTGTTTCCCTATTGAGCGGTAAGCCGGGCACGGAACTGCGCAAACGCGTCGACCTGGGTCTGGAAGCCATCTCTCTAGGTCTGCCCTGTGCCAACGATCGTCAATGCCAGCTGGCTGATCCTCACACAGTGTGCAATGCACGTGGCGTTTGCGACTGCGCAGCAGCCAGTGGGGCACAGCAGGGACAATGCAGTGCTGAGCGTACAGGATGCAGTCCTGGCACCTTCCAGGTAAGCTAAATTTATCGTGTACCTATGATTACAAGCCTGGTATTGTAGTGTACCATAACAGCTATATCAATGAGAGTAGAACATTAATGAGAGTGATTACTGATTATTGAGTTTCGTTACTACTATTATGTACCTTTGGATTTTACAATGTACCTTAACATACATAAAATGTACCATAGAATTTCCTACTTTATGTGCCAAATTCGCATCAATCAACTCTATCCATGACCCTCAAACTATAAGTAACATGTACCTTTGGCTATTACAATGTACCTTAACATACATAAAATGTACCATAGCACTTCCCCTTTTTATGTACCATGAAAATAAAATGTACACCAATCAACTCTTTTCATGTACCTACAACTACAAGTAACATGTACCTTTAGTTTTTACAATGTACCTTAACATACATAAAATGTACCATAACATTTCCTATTTTATGTACCAAACTCACATCAATCAACATTTTTCTTGACCCTTAAACTATAAGTAACATGTTCCTTTGGCTGTCACAATGTAGGTACATGATAAGGTTATCATACATAAAATGTACCATAACAATTCTTATTTTTATGTATCATGAAAGTACAATATACATCCATAAAGTGTTGTCATGTACCTACAACTACAAGTAACATGTACCTTTTAATTTAAAATGTACCATAGTAGAATCATCGTAATTTCTTTGCTCTTTTACAGTGCCGCTCGAGTGGCGTTTGCATTTCCTGGTTCTTCGTATGCGATGGACGTGCCGATTGCAACGATGATTCCGACGAGGAGTGCACCCACAATGCCCGCCTCAATCAAACCTGTCCAGCGGAGGCGTTCCGTTGTGAGCGCAGCGGCCGTTGCATCTCCCGTGCGGCGCTCTGCGATGGACGCAAACAGTGTCCGCATGGCGAGGATGAGCTAGGCTGCGATGGCCAGCTGAAGGGCGGCAATAGCTGTCCGGCGCACACTTTCCGCTGCAAGAGTGGCGAATGCCTGCCCGAGTACGAGTACTGCAATGCGATCGTCTCCTGCAAGGATGGCAGCGATGAGCCGCCACATCTGTGCGGCTCCCGTGCCATGCCCAATCTATTCATGCGCCTCATCGAAGCGGGCGGCCTGCTAGCCAGCCGCAGAGAACCGGATGCCTATTGTCCGCATCGTTGCAGCAATGGACTCTGCCGCTCCACAGCAATCGTATGCTCCGGACGCGATGGCTGCGGCGATGGTACCGATGAGCAAACCTGCGCCGTCTGCCGTGAGTTCAAGCACAGCCAAACCCAATCCTTTCGCCCCTAACTAATATCACTTCTATTCGCCTTTCAGGTTGCCCGGCTCCAACTGCTGCCAGTCTGCCAACCTATTTGGCCAGACATCGCCCCATGCCGCTGTGGTAGACTAGAAGGAAGCAAGCAACAACGATCTGCATTTCGATCGACACAACTATTTCGTGCACTTTTCCCACGCTGTCAATTTGCCAATTTATGTGAACCAATTTGGATATATTTGGAATTTTTGAGTTAGAATTTAAGTCGATTTAACGCTATTTATTTATTTATTTATTATTTGTTTGCGACTGCGCCTGCCACGCCCAATTGCCACCTTGCTAGCAAGGGATGGCCCGCATCCTTTGACCCAGCGATGTTGACAATTGTGCGCCCTATGCGCAATCTAACACCAGACACCACACACCACACACACTATCCACACTTCATCCAGACATTCATCTATTCCCATTAATCACGAAAACTTTATTTATTCTACTCATGTGCCCATTGAACTATTTATTTATTCTCACTCTTCACTTAAATTCCTAAAAAAACAAAACAAACAAAAAGCAAGAAAAAAAACAAAAACTTCATTCGCTTAGCTTAGTTTTATAAAATTATCTAATTTATTTAAATTATGGCCAGGCAAAACACATAACAACAACAACAACGACAACGAATGATGCATTTTTATTATAAATTAATTTGTTTGTAAATAAGTTAACAAAGTGCTTGATGTACATCATAAATGACTATGATATCGAAAAACTTCTCTATTCACTATAGCGCTATAGACCCTATAGATACTATAGACTCTATATAGGCATGTCGAGTGGGAGTCGTAATGCTCGGCTGCCCGCATTACCATCAAGTCAAAGTGCAACACAAGACATCTAAAAACAATTAAGACAATACAAAATGCATGAATTAAATGATAATAAAAACAAAAAGAACTTATTTTTAAAATAAAAAATATCAAAAAATTATGTATTTTTGATTTCTAATTCGTTTTTTGTTTGAAGAAAATGGGCAACGAATGAATTGAATTACATTTAATTAATTCTACTTTTGCTTAAGATTTAAGTCTTTCTACTACTTTCTTCTACTCCTCCTTTCACTTTCCTTACTGCTAAGCCTCTTATGTTAGGTATTACTAGGTATTCTATCTTCCAATTCAAACCCTTTTCCTACTCCTAACCAGCTCTTGTTCTTATTCTTATTGTTACGCTAATTAATATTACTTTTTTTACTCTTATACCAAATTCTACTCCCTTTTTATTTATAATCAAAATCCTTGATATATTTATAGTTTTCCTCCTACATCTATCCCCTTTTCTATTTTTACTAAAACTACATATTCCTTCTTCTACAACTATTTCTATTTTTATCCCTACTCACATTCTAATTTCTACTCCAATTTATGCTCCTTTTCTTGCTCTTTCCCATATCTAGTCTTACTCCTGTGCTCACTTTTACTACTATTACATATGCCTCCGACTCAATTGCTACTACTTATTTTACTTCCTATGCTAATCCTCCCTATGCTAATCCTAGTGCTATTCGTTTTCTTACTCCTACTCCTATTTTTACTCCTACTTCCACTTCTCTTTCTACTCCCACCAATTCACTTTTTTATACTCCTCCATATACTATCTCTACGACTTCTACACCTACTAGTTCTGCGCTCATTACTCCTACCATTACCTATTACCTACAACTCCTACTCCTACTTACTACTCCTATTACAACACCTGCACGTCCCTCTCTGATCTCATCTGAGTTCCATTTGCCTAAAATTTCAAATTACACTTCAGCTACACTTAAAATAGTAGTTATATAATGTGAATTGTGAATGTAAACAGAAGTGAAACATAAATAAGCTTATTTATTGATTCTCAGCCTTAATTCAAATGGACAAGCAACCGCTGCTTGAATTGAATGAGGACGCCATTGGAGCGTCGGCTTATAAATCTATTGCATGCATGGCGATACTTTCCTGGTTTTGTCGTCAGATATTGTTTCAGCGCAAGCAGATCTACATTTTGATCACTTTCTTGGTTCCGATATTCTATCTTTTATGCTATTACCTGAGCGGACTTAATGCGTTTCGTTATAAATATTCGGAGGAAGGATACGAAATTGAAAGTGAATTGGAAACGCAAGGTATCAACGAATAGTCTTCTTCCCTCATAAAGTTATCCCATCCGAATTGTCGGATATCAGTTAATCCTTTCCTTTATTTGAAATATTCTTTGATTCGGCTATAGCCATCGTTTTCCCACCCATGAAACGTTATCCAATGATTGATTAGAATTGAGACTTCCTTTCCCTACCTCTAAATCTAAAAATATAATTGATAACATCCCAATTTCAATTCATCAGGTTATCTTGTATACTCTGACTACTGCAAGATCGTAAATATAAATCCATACAATCACGAGGTGATGATATTTTTCAACTCTACAAACTCTACAACTCTCAAACCCTGCGTGACATATCCCCCACTCACCCAGGTGCATTACGATGCCAGCGTTCAACGCTACGTTCTGAGCATTGACCCAATTGCGTTACCCAGCTACGAGGTGCAGAACGTAATCGGCTGCTGCTACAAGACCGTGCAATATATCAACGACGATGAGGTTAAATATACGGCATGCCAACCCTTCACTCTCAGAACTTATCTACCTAATACAACGGACAGCATTATAGTCACCTGCCAGACAGGCACCGAGTACATCTATCTCAATGGACATCCCACCATACCGGAGCGATCTGCCGTGCGACAGCGACTCGAGAATTGGGCGCACAAAGATCGAGGTAAGCGTGTGCCCAGCGTTCTGATGATAGGCATCGACAGCATCTCAAGAGTGAATCTCATCCGTGCAATGCCCAAGACAGCGCAGTATCTGTACGACAACGATTGGTTCGAGCTGGCGGGCTACAATAAGGTAAGCTCAGCAATTAATCCAGATCGAATCACAGCTGAAGTCTAACTCCATCACAGATCGATGACAACACATTCCCCAACATAATGGCACTGATGGTGGGCTACAATCTGTCGACTGCCATGAAGCACTGTAGTCCCTATACGATAAATGGCCTGGACAAGTGCGACTTCCTCTGGAAGCTATTCCAGCGGCATGGCTATGTGACGGCCTATGGCGAGGATGCGATTAAGATCAATACCTTCAACTTTATGAAGAAGGGCTTTCAGCAACCACCCGTGGACCACTATTTACGTCCGTATTTGTATGCGGCGGAGAAGCAACTTGGTGGAAATATAGTGAATTATCTGCCTCATTGCGTGGGCTTTGAGACGGAGGCAAAAACTGTTTATAACTATGCCCTGGAGTTTGCAAAGCGCTATCTTAATGATAGCTTCTTTGGCCTCTTCTGGACAAACACGCACAGCCACAGCGACATCTCACAGACCAGCTCCATGGATGAGTACTTGAGAGGATATCTTCAGCGGCTGGTGGCACAGGGCACCATGGAGAACAGTATCATCGTCTTCTTTAGTGATCATGGCTTACGCTTTGGACCAACTCGTGACACTTGGTCCGGATATTTCGAGGAGCGATTGCCATTCCTGTTCATCTGGCTACCGGAGTTTGTGAGAAAAGCACACCCAGAATTTGTGGAGGCACTGCGTCTCAATCGCAATCGCCTGACCACGCCCTACGATCTGCACTTGACACTGAAGCACGTACTCTCGCTGACGGGCCGGGTTGAGAGCCAGGAGGATCTGGGTGGTGCCAAGGATTGTCCGCAGTGCCAGAGCCTGTTGCTGCCCGTTTCGTTGAATCGCAGCTGCGCGGATGTTGCCATTGAGGATCACTGGTGCACGTGCAGAACGTTTAAGCATACAACGGGCAAAATTCTGCTCAAGCTAGCCTTTCACATAGTCGAACACATTAATTCAATGCTGAACAACTCTGAAAATGGCAGCTATTTGAAAGAATGTGTGCCGCTGAAACTACTAAAAATCAAAAAAGCTTACAAGGCAGATGCAAATGCATTCGATCCGAGTCATATACGAATTTATATGCTAACCATATCAACAACTCCAAATTATGCAATGTACGAGGCGACATTGCGCTACGACTGGCATCTGCCAAAGAACAAAAAAATAATCATAACTGGATCTGTGAGTCGCATTAATTCATACCATGGCAATATAAATTGCCTGGGCAGCGATCCCATGATCAAATTTTGTTATTGTCGCGAACAAAAAGTAGACGAAATGATATATGAAAAACCAGTAAATCAAACATAATTAATAAATATAACAGTTTTTTTTTATTTTGTAAGCTGCGCCAAACTGTATGCTATAAATTTGTCAAGGCGCTCAACAGAAAAGCTTTGTTGTTGTTGACATTTTCGGCAAGCACGTGCCTAGAATTTCACACACACACACAAAGAAAGCCTCTCACACTGAGAGGCGCATCCTAAGTAAATACTTGAAGAGCACGCAACAGGTAGTGTGCGCTGATTGGTTGAAGAGAGGCAGAGAGAGTCAGACGGCGTCGGCGCTGACTGCGCAGTCGCCGCAAACGAAGGCGACAAGCAAATAAACACTGCATGCTTTTAGGCGGCGCTCACAAATTGCAGCTAGCAGAGGCTCTCGCACTCTCTCTTTCTCTTTGCCTTGTCCCGCTGGCTGTGCGAATGTGTGAAAGCTCTCACACACTCACATTCACAAGCGAACGCCTCAGCCTCGCTGGCGCCAGCTTGCAAAAATATTTTGAATTTTGTTATTAACTGTTTGCAGGCCACTGCAGCAGGACATGCGAGCGTCGCATGCGTTTGTGTGTGTGTGTGTGTGTGTGCAGCGCAATTAAAATAATAAACTGTCACATTATATATTGCCACATATTGTTGCAATCAATAAAGAGCTGCGGAAAAGCTAATGAAAACACGTGAGTGCAAAAGTTAAATACAAATTGAATTGAGCAACAAGAAGAAAAACGAAAATGGTTGCGAAAAAGTTCTCTACACTTGTGTGTGTCTGAGTGGGCGGTGTATCTGTGTGTGTGTGTGTGTTCATATATGTGTGTGTGTATTCGAGTACGCGCAGCTTGTTAGTATCTATTGTGTCACAGCAATGTTTTGTAATTTTACGCTGACGCTGCAACTGAATGTATTTCAATAGCAGCTTGACACGCGTGTGTGTGTGAGTGTGTGAGCTTTACTACGTCACTACGTCCTCGACATACCTATACATATACACGAGCCATGTAGTACGTGTGCACGTAGCTAAGCTCCATTTAACAATCTGCATTTATGACTCATTTGCCGCCTGTTTCTTGACAAAACTGACAAGTGCAATATGGAATAAAGCATTCTGTGTGTATATATTTGTTTATATAGTATCTTCCACTAGCTCTAATTACAAAGTATATTTTATAGCTGATAATTAGTTCAAAAAGGGGGCTAACAATTTATAATTAAACTTTTAATTAGTTTTCAACAGAAAAAGTGCAACTGCAACTGTCAGGCGCAATATAGATACCATCTTCATGTGAACAGTGCAAATGTTTTCTAGGCATGCAAGCGACTGGAAAGTAAAGCACTTGTTAGCGTTAACTTATTTCATACAATAGTAATTAAGATAGGACATGATAATGCTGTAGAACTGTAAAATATTATTGAAAGTAGTTTTTTTTTAACATAAGCACCAATTGTGAAACTACCCATGGATCAACTTCTAAAGCTAGCTAAGGATTTTACTTTATATCTTATTCTTAATTAAAGAATATCTATCTCTGTATATGCCTCCCAACTTTTGGATCTACCCTAATATCTATATTTAAATCTTTCTCTAGTTTTTAGCCTTTATCTCTGGTTTCATCCCTGGATCTGCCCCATATATATACACATATTAATACACGGATTAAGCTTAAGATTTTTTTTTTAGTTTCTAGTTGAGCCACTGGATCTGTCCAGATCAGCCTCGGAGACTATCTATATATGTGACTTCTAGATCTATATTTAGATCAGCCAACATCTGCTTCCAGATAGATGTTAGGATCCATATATAGCTATCTATACCATTGGACTTATCAAAATATCTGGTTCAACCCTCGGATCTGCCTTTGGATAGATTTCCTAATCTATGCATGGATCTTCCTCGGAGTCCACCTCAAGATCAGTCTCTAGAAATGTCTATAGATCTCTCTCTCTCTCTCCATCTATCTCTCTCTACCTCTCTCTCTCTGTCCCCTTTCTCTCTTAGTCTCCCTCTGAATAGATTTGTTTCAATATACTTCTCAAAGCTTATCTTTTAGATCTCCATTTTAAGCTGACTGAACAATTTCACATTTTCAAGGTTTTCAACTTGAGTTAGCTTGGTTTTTCTTTCAAAATTCACTTTTGCAGGCTATTAAACTAAATTGAAATGCACACAATAATAAACAAAATACATCAAAATTGCTATCAGCAACGTATCAAATTACTCAAGTGACCAAACTTTTGTTGTACAGTGTATTACAGCACTGCTGACTAACTACAAATATTCGATGCTTTCGTGGGAATTTTTTATGCAAAGAAATATATATCTATATATACACACATACACATATCAATGTTGATATCTATGTACATAACTCAGCTGGAAGTCAATAATTATTTATTTTTTTTTTTCAATTACATTTTAATATCTCTTTCGATGGGCAAGCAGCAGAGACTATTGTGTCATAGACAATCGTGATGTTAAAACCAGCAATCCAGCATATTAGATAATCAATCATGAATGAAAAAAAAACACTATAAAGAGTGAGAGAGAGAGAGAGACAAAGAAATCCCCATTAAGAATACAAAAGTTCAAGGTAAATAAGCTACGAAATACACTGGGACTAACTACATTTTTGTTGATGAGGCACTAAAAATAGTGAAAAAACGCAGCAGAAACAAACTGAAATATTTAAAAAACGTGCAGTCTATTTTTGAAATATATAAAAATACAAAAAAAATTGCTATTGTCAGAACCAAAGGTATTTGCTCAAGTGAAAAAGCTCTGCAAAATTAGGTATAAACAAAAAAATGAAACTGAAATTTGAAGCCTGAAATAAACTTTGGTATGGAAAATGCAAATATTTGATGATGAATAACAAATAGTCGAAGTAGAAGAGCTTTGACCAAGCTGTTGAGCTTGCAATAATCTTGGGATAATCCAATGACATCGAAACATCTATTCAACATACGAATCGGAAGCCGCGGGCGTGGAACAGTAACTAAACAGAAATTCAATTGAAAGATAGTCAAGAGCCGAAGCAGCTCGTAAATTTCATGCTGCTGGCTAGACACGAGCTGCCATTCGCTTTCGTCAGCAGCGGCAACGGCAACGGCAGCGGCAGCGGCAGCGGCAGCTAAACATTTTGTTTGTATCTGTATCTGTATATTTTTTTGCTGTTTTCCGTTTATTTGTATATTGTTTCGGATCGGTCGAGGTGGACGCTACGCAGCGCAAAGAGACGCGCATTAAATTTCTGTTTTATGTCAATTTCAATTAAAATTTCAATTTTCGAAATTAGTTAAACGTAGTGCAGCACGTGAGTTGATGTTGACTATTTTAATTTCTATATATATATATATAGAATAAATACAAATATTTGTGCCAGTTCTCATTATGGTGTAAATTGCAAATAAGCTGTAAAAAATGTCATTGTTTATTTGACAAATTGGCTAATTTTTATGCAATGCAAATTGCAATTTGTTCTTGGCAGTGAATACGTGAGCGGACTGAGAGACTGTCCGACAGACAGTCAGACAGCCAGACACATAGTGCAGTGCAGTGCCCCATTCTAAACATAGACGACCTACAAAACAGCTGCAACATTTGCAAGCCAACAAAATTCAAAATATACTAAATAAATTATTTAAAAATAAATACTAATATATAAAATATAACAAATAATAAATAAATGAGCTTCAACCAAAGCAGAACGCCCATAAGTAAGTGCTGAGCTAAGCAGTAAAATTTGTTGATGATATAGGTTTGCTATTATAAACACATAACTATAGGCCAGCAGTCAGCAGAGTGATACACTCTCAATGGCTGGTGGAAAATGTTAATAAATCAAAGCTTCATATTAAATCTTTATCTCATTGAATATGATTTGCTCAAATCGTTGATACAAATATATCATTATAATTATAATTATTGATATAATTTTATTAAATTTTTAAATTCATATCTTAATTTTCAATACAAATTATTATTATATTATTAAAATTATATTTTATTAAATATAATTTTCATCATGGTTAAAATTCTACTTAATAATTACCTATTTTATTTTATTTATTTTTTAAGTGATTTATTGTGTTTTTGTTTTTTTTTTTTAAATTTTTCTTTATTTTATATTATATATCAAAATTTTTAATTTTAATTTTTTTCTTTTAAATTCTTAATTTTTTATTATTTTTTATATTTATGATTATTTTTCAAAATTCTGTTCATTTAATATTTATGTAGAAATATAATGTCAATAAGAAATACATGTTTGTTTTTTAATATTCTAAGATGCTTATAAAAAGGCTTACCAAATGCGATCAAAAATAAGCTCACATAATTGTATTATTTCAAATACACTCCAAAATTTATATTTAACATTAACAAAGAAAGACAATTTGAATGGAACGGAAACCCCAAGCCCATATGCTCTTATCTTATACATAAGAACAAGTTTCTAAAGAAACGAGTTGCATCCGCTCTTTGAATGATAAAGTATTTGCTTTTAATACGCCTTCTTTTGTATATTTTGTATATGAATATACATACATACATACATATATGTATATTTTGCATTAATATATACTTCACACAAACGCTGTGCAAAACCCAAAAATGTAGTCTTAAGTGTAATCAATATTGCAGTAGCTGCTAGTGAATCACCAATTGTTGATGTCTATTTTATGGCTAAATAATTTTATTATTTCCATATTTTTTTTATAAAGTTATTTTCCGACTAACTTAAGGCTAATTACCATTTTGCATAATTCATAATGATTTTTATGTATATATAATTTTTTTAATTTTTACTGTTAAATCACTTTTTAATTTGCCGCAAATGTGTATATGTACACAGATACATATCTATATACATACCTAGCAACAATTTGTTATTGCCTTTCGATTTTATAAACACGCAATGGTTTTTTGTTGCATATTTTGTTTAGCTCGTTCAATTAACTATTTTATGCTACGCTTACAAAGTGCCAGTGGGTATACTATATTTATAAATAACAGGCTGACATAATCGCTTCAAAGAAAACACAAAAGTCGTAAGCAATTGAGCAATTGACAGAGTAGCGCGAAGTCGATAAGTCCCTTTTCTTAGTTCGTTACTCTAACACCTTTTCGCAGTCTAGACTTAATTTATGAGTGTCAAGATGACTCCTTATGCATATATACATATATATATATACATAAACAGTTAACAGTAGAGTCACTAATCAATAGCAATAAGCTGAAAAGCTCTAATATGTTTAATGATCAGCTCAAATATATTTTTATAAAAAATATCTATGCATAATTTATATTTGTGGAGTCATCTATATAATGCATATTAGTTAGTATTTTAAGCAGAGTATTGTGCAGTCGATAATAGCCAACTGTAAATTCGTATTTTTCGTTTTGCTCTTACATCTGTTCGCAAACTTATATAGTGTATATATTCACCTTGTAAACAAAGTTCTACAGAATAGATTACACTCGATTGGAAAGCTCTATAATACTTACTTTCTTCGGTTTCATCTTTTGACATTCAGAGCTGTCAAGTCGTGATTAAAGGTACGAAATATATACATATATGTATGTTGTAGCGTTACTCATATTATTATTGTTCGGCATTGCTTTAGCGCAGAGTTTCGAATACACTTAGATCTCAAATCCAACTGAGCTGTGTCAGCCTCTTACAGGGATGCCAACCCTCCGTCTTTTTACGTAGATCTCCGTATTTTAAAGGGCATGTAAAGAGACTAGAACTACGTACTTTTTAAAAAAATTTCAAAATACTTTAACTATGAGGAAGGGGTACCGCCAAACAATTTTTGGCGTTATATTTCAAATGTTAAAAAGCGAAATTTAACCCAGATGTTTCCAATTTTGAAGGGGCTTACTCAAAAATTGCTTATTTTTCCACATAGCAGTGCTAATGTTGAGCGACTATATTCTGAAATTAAATTAATTAAATTAAAACTAATAGTAGAAATAAGTTAGAAACGAACACTATAAAAGGTTTACTTCACACAAAAAGTGGGTTAATGGAAAACTTAGAGCCTTCTGATAACCACCTGAAATACCTTAATAAAAATATGTATAAATTTTTGTAAAATTCGTACATTAATGTGTATAAACAATTTGAACAATGTAATTTTCTTTTTAAAACGTCAACAGAAATTAATAACAATGAGGTACAAAGTCAGATAATTTACAAATTTATTGTTTTATTCATTATTTTTATTGTTTTTAAATTTTTAAAAAATTTACGTAGATCTACACTTGCCAGAAAAACTATGCGTACAGGCCTAAGGAGCGACTTTGATTGAGAATAAATATGATAAATAATAGTATATTTATCAATATTATATTTTTTAATGGAAAACAATTTAATAACACACATTTATCAACAATTTTTTTTTATTATATTATACAGTTTATTTTTTTATATTTAAAATAAAAAATAAAAAAAATACACTTAGAAAAAGTATGCGTACAAACTAACAACCTACTGTTCTGTACGTATTTCAGCAGAATTGTGCTACGGAAAAACACGCAGATTTTGGAGCCAGCTCAAATTTTGAGTTGGCATCCCTGGTCTCTTATCCCTTGTGTCTTCCATCGAGCCACGCTCGGCGACAGCTTCTGTAGCTGTTGAAATTATGTTATCTATGAAAATGCTCGAAGAACATATTACCACCACGCGCCTGCAAGGCGCCTGTACATTTCAACTACCTACTCTCCGACATATATATATATATATATATATATATATATATATATATATAGATAAAGCTTAACTAAAAGCATATAGCCCATGTCTGCGTCTAATAGTTATGAAGAGTATTGTGAAATTGAAAATTAATTTTGCTTTAGCCAAGAAGACTTTAAAAAGTCTTTTACATATAAATATATAATATGCACAAATGTATATTATTTAAATTTAAACTATATACAGGGTAGCGCGCAGTCATTCTCAATGTTTCTACAATTTGTTTTTCTTATCTTTCATCTGTTTCGCGGTTTCGCAGGCAAAACTTAAGCAAACATGATGCAGCATCAACTTGATTTGAAATAAGTATTGGAATGGCTGACAAGAGGCCGTTGCTGGAGTACGCGGACGATGTTGAGGCCACGGATGGCTGTCAGAATGTCCAGGAGCCGGCCTTGTCGGGCATCGGCTTTAAGCCTGGCCAGGCGCCGACGCTCTTCTGGTATTTTCGTCAAATTGTGCTGCGACGCAAGCTGCTGCTCGGCTTGTTGCTGATGTTCGTGTTCTCCTACTTTTTGATTGGGCCAGCAGATGTGCTCGACCTGGACAACATACAGGTGCATCACCAGTCGAATGTCCTGGACATGGAAGGTATTTGAGTAGTTTGATCGACGAATATCCTTGTAGATTTGTATATGTTCTCCATCTTTGTTTGTTTGTTGTTTGTTTACTTTTCTGTTGGTACTCGCTTTTTGTGTTCTCTGCATGATTCGCCCCACAATTTGCCCGTCCACCCAACCAACCAACCACACAACTTGTCGTGTTCAGCTGTCAATTCGAACGCAACCACAACGCCACAGCTTAACCTAACCATCGAGCTTTCCACTAATCAGCTGATTGATCCGCCCACCCCTTTGCCAAAAGGCTATCTCGTATACAGCAACCACTGCAGAATCGTGGATCTGGATCCCTATAAGCGTGAGATGATGCGTCACTTCAAGCGTGTCGCCTACAAAGCCTGCAAGTCCCAACCACCACTCACCAGCATCCACTACAATGCGACTGCTCAGCGCTATGTGCTGAACATCGATGCCTTCGCCCTGGCCAACGCGAAGAAGAGCAGCAAGCTCAGGTGCTGCTACATGGGCGTGGAGCGTGCCAGCGAGATGGATGTCAACTATACGCCTTGCGAGAAATTCAAGAGTGGCGCACAATTGGCCAATACGACAGACAGCATTATAGTCAAGTGTAAGTCGGAGCGGGAGCAGGTCTATATCAATGGACATCCCACCATACCGGAGCGATATGCCGTGCGACAGCGACTCGAGAAGTGGGCACACAAAGATCGAGGTAAGCGTGTGCCCAGCGTTCTGATGATAGGCATCGACAGCATCTCGAGAGTGAATCTCATCCGTGCAATGCCCAAGACAGCGCAGTATCTGTACGACAACGATTGGTTCGAGCTGGCGGGCTACAATAAGGTAAGCTCAGCAATTAATCCAGATCGAATCACAGCTGAAGTCTAACTCCATCACAGATCGATGACAACACATTCCCCAACATAATGGCACTGATGGTGGGCTACAATCTGTCGACTGCCATGAAGCACTGTAGTCCCTATACGATAAATGGCCTGGACAAGTGCGACTTCCTCTGGAAGCTATTCCAGCGGCATGGCTATGTGACGGCCTATGGCGAGGATGCGATTAAGATCAATACCTTCAACTATATGAAGAAGGGCTTTCAGCAACCACCCGTGGACCATTATTTACGTCCGTATTTATATGCGGCGGAGAAGCAGCTCGGTGGCAACAGTGTGCTCGGCATGCCCCATTGCGTGGGCTATGCGACGGAGGCGGAGCACGTCTACAACTATGCTCAGGAGTTTGCAAGGCGCTATCACAACGACAGCTTCTTTGGCTTCTTCTGGACGAACACGCACAGCCACAGCGACATCTCACAGACGAGCTCCATGGATGAGTACTTGAGAGGATATCTTCAGCGACTGGTGGACCAGGGCACCATGGAGAATAGTATCGTCGTCTTCTTTAGTGATCATGGCTTACGCTTTGGACCAACACGTTCCACCTGGTCAGGTCACCTGGAGGAGCGATTGCCATTCCTGTTCATCTGGCTGCCTGAATTTGTTAGAAAAGCACATCCAGAGTTTGTGGAGGCACTGCGTCTCAACCGCAATCGCCTGACCACGCCCTACGATCTGCACTTGACACTGAAGCACGTACTCTCGCTGACGGGCCGGGTTGACAGCCAGGAGGATCTGGGTGGGGCCAAGGATTGTTCGCAGTGCCAGAGCCTATTGCTGCCTGTTCCGCTGAGTCGTAGCTGCGAGGATGTTGGCATTGAGGATCACTGGTGCACGTGCTGGGCCTACGACAGCGTTTACAAGAACTCCAAGATAGCGCGACAGCTGGCCAAGCGCGTGGTGCGCTACCTGAACGACTATGTGAGCAGCTTCCGCAATGGCAGCATGGCACATCTCTGCCAGCCGCTGTCGCTGCAGAGCATGAGCGCCGCCTACAAGGCGCATCCGAATGATGATGATCCCAGCCATATAGAGATCTATTGGCTCATCTTCTATACCGCGCCCAACAAGGCGCTCTACGAGGCAACAGTGCGCTACAATAAGCTGCTTCCGGAGGACGAGAATTTGCTAGTGACCGGCTCTGTGAGTCGTCTCAACATGTACAACGGCGAGGCGGATTGCATGAATGACTTTACCATCAAAAAGTATTGCTATTGCAAGCACAAAGGAGGCTGAAGGAGATCGGGCCTCCCACATTGTGGATATTATGATTGTTTAGGCTTAAGCCCCCAAGTGCCGTTATTCGTAGTTGTTAAGGGCTTAACGTAGTAGCTCCTCTCTCTATATCTAATCATTAAAAAGACTCGGAACATTTCCAGAGCAGCAACGTGATAATATTTACTTACACACATATATATATAGATAACATGTACATAACTCAGAAGAAACACTATATCTACGAGGTTAGCCCAAATAAATAGCTAAACGTTGCGTTAAGTGTAAAATGTATCGATCTACCCTCGCATTACCCTTTTTGCTCACTCAACTAGCTTCCACTATTTCTACATTACGTATGTGTACATAGATCTAAACTCTACAACCAATTCCCAATTTGTATCGTTCAAAAGAGATTTGCCAAGTTTTCAATTATTATAAATTTTACATAGATTATATATATTACTTAAGTTTCTCGTATCAAATACACATAATTATAGTTAAAGTCATACTGAATACATATATGTTACATTCATAGAATTGTCTAATTAATTAATTAGTGAAAGCAAAGAAAATCGATGTATCCTAAAAATTACAAGCAACCAATTTTTTATTCCGAATGGCAACAGAATAGCGAAAAAAATATATACAAGAAATTTCTGTATGGACTTCCAAAAATGTTTGTCTCGAGGATGGCAATTTCAAATTTATTGTGAGCGTTGTCAGGTAAGAAAGTTGTCAGTTGACTAAAATTTAAACTGCATATGCACGGAATATATATATATATACACATATATATATGTATATATATATATACATATATATATATATATATAGATATGTATATATGTATAGGCATATATATATTTATATATTTACATATATGAATATACGATATATAGTTTGTAGAAAATTGTGTTTCGTTTGGCTTTCTTCTTTTATCGCTATATATTTTTTATATTATACTTGTAATTTGTCAATTAGCGGTTATTGCAATTCTCTTCTTCAGCTCACAGTTGGCCCAATATATATATTATCCAATAGAATATTATTTTGATCTTGAGCTATTTTCGTTTTAAAATATTTCCTCGTCTCCTTTGTATATTGTTTGGTCTGTTTGGTTATATATTATTGTTTATATGTTCCATATTTTACGATTCTATTTTCGAACTGTTATTTGTTTTTGTTTTAGTTTTTGTTGTTGTTGTTGTTTTTTTTTTTTTTTGAATAGATAACATCGGATTTCTCGGCTTACGGGGCGCTCAACGCTGATATTGCAGACTAATGACTTTCTCCTTAAAGTTGTAATTGCACAACATGTTCTTCAGAGACTTAAAGAATTTGGTTAATGGACTGTGCCGTTGCAGGCCAAGGGCATCGCTTGGCATTGGCTGCAGTTCCAGACGCAGCTCCTTGTAGTCCTCACCAATTATCACCGAGAAACGTCCGCTCAGATTGACAGCATAGCTCGCATTCGCAGGACGCGTTTTGATGAACTCGATGGTCTGCTGCAGCTGTTGTGCAAAGAAGGATTGCTTCGTGGAGCGTTGAAAGTTGCGCGCACTCCAAGTATCGAGCGAGGTATTGATCAGCCATGTATAATGTTGCGGCAGTGGATGAGGCTCGGCGATCAGTTGGCTCTCCTCAACTGGCTCGATCAGCTTCAAATTTAAGCCATATATATTGACTAGAATATCCTTGATCGCATCCACATAGCATAAAACCCAATAGTAAAAAATTGTATGCGTTGCATTCGTCTTTTTGCTTAGAAAATCCGCACGCAAACTCTTCAAATCATTGTTTGTGGGTTTCAGTATGTGTACATGCGACATGGGTGAGGCATTCTCGGAGCTTGTCGAGGATAACCTTTCTTTGGGTTTAGCATTTGTTTCAGCCGGCAATTCCGTTGACATAGCTGCGATGGCAGGAAGTGTCGTCTTTGTTGCAGCAACAAGTGGCGTTATTTTCTCTTTTGCTGCTTTTGCTGCGGGTGTCGACTTTTCTGCAGCTTCAACTACAATCTTGGCTATTGTCTCCGCTTTGGCTTTCTCTTTCTCCGGATGCTGCTCTTTACACGGCACTTGCTTGCGCACCTTGGCTGGGTGGCCCTGCTCTATTCTTTGTCCTTGCAACAGTTGCTCGGCCAGACCAAATAGCAGATATTCATAAAGTTTGGCGGGCGTTGAGACCATCTTCTTATCACTACAAGCTCGATGTGCCAATGCCAAACATTCGCGCAGATAACACAGATTCGTTATGGATATCGACTGGCCCACATTGTGTTGCATCTCGAAGGGATCCTGCACGCAAACGCAACGTTGATTCTGGAACGGTTCTGGCTGCTCGCCCGTCGCCTTGGCCATCGCATGCAGCTGCTGTTCATACTCGGGAAATGAGCCAGGCACCGAAAAAGCTGATTCCAGATCCAGTGCACAGCCCAAATAGGGCGATAACAATTTCCTCTCAAAGTCCATTTGATTGTATAGCTCAAAGAACTGGGAGATCAGGTCCAGGGTGGTCAAGCTGGCCGGTATTGGACGCACCTGCTGAAGGCTGTAGCCATAGTTGACGCCCATGACTTCGAGGACCGGACAACGGGTCTGCAGCTGCTTGATGGACGGTAATTGCTTCTGCTGTTGCATGCTAAAGATGATGAGGGTGATCAAGCAGTAGCTGGTCATGCTGCCGCTGCCAATGACCTTCAGCTTCTTGGCCCACAATTTGAGGAATAAGAAGAGTTCACGCATACGCACGTCCCTGCCCAGCAGTTCAGCTACAAAGCGCGAGTTGTACGTGCTATTCGGGCTGGACATATTAATATCCAGGCTTAATCCGCTTAAGACATGCTTGCAGCGTATGATAGGCACACGGGCATGCCGGATAGCAAACACATTCTGAAAGCATTCACTGCGGCGCAAAAAATTGTAAATCTTGTTGAACAATTGGCGGCTGGACACGCCATTCGAGCTGGCGTCCGTTTGCTCCAAGAACAAATCAATGTCACTATCTACAGAACAAGAGCATCAGAGAACTGGAAGACGATAGTCGGGAATGGGCAGTACGAACCTTTTAAAGCCAACCCCGTCACAAGTGAGCCGAAGGGATATACTTTTACTCTACCGTGTAACTGTTTTTGTAGAGTGTCTCGCACCTGGGAGAAGCAAGCCGACAGCTCATTGCAATTGCCCGAATAGAACGCCAACACCGCACGCAAATGCTGTCCAGCCGGTGCCTGGGCCAGTGCCGCCTTCAGTACCCGGCGTTCGCATTGGATTTGCTCGCTGGCAAATAGCTTTGTGATTGCATCCAGGCATTTGCGTAGCTTTTTCTGCGGCTTTATTGTGTGCTTAAGCAGCTCGTGTGCCAGGCAATCCTGTAATGTTTTGAAGGTCGCTTCGCACACTTTGCAGTGCACCGAATCGTCCTGGGACGGCCTTGTGCGAGTCTCCAAGTCGCTCATTTCTGTAAAAACCAAATTTTAAAAGCAACTGATTAAAACACAAACTTAGTACATTTTATTTACGGGACACATTTGAACTAAAGTCTAAAGCACAGCACATGTGACATGTGCATAGACATATATACACATAAAGAAATCGAATCGGCCTGGATCAGAAGGATAACGATTTGTTCGTTCGTCTATCGATCACACGCTGAAAATAACCTGGAGCAATGCAGCCAGCAATGCCAGCGCAAAGTATCACATTGTTACTGGAACGATACAGTTCCAGCTGATCCGCAAGCACCTTGGCCACGTCCAAATAGATGAGCACCTGGCAATCGCTGCGAAAACCGCTTACCACGACTTCACCCCGCCCTCTGAGCACTGCAAAGTGTACGTGATTGCGTTGCATACGCTTCAAGCCCTCCGTCTTGATGTGCTCCCAGTTCTTATAGTAAGTGCCATGGACCACAGCCTCAGGTAGCTGGGAGATGCTGCTGATGCGCTCCATGCAGGCCTCTGCCTGCACAGCTGTAAGCGAATGGCCCTGATTCGCGCGTATCTCGTCAGCACCCGTTAAGGGATTACAACGCAACTGGTACCGCTGCTTGGCATCTCCTGCAACGATTTCCCGCAATTTTTCCATGCTGTATTGGGCGCCGAAGCGCGGATGCTGTAAAATATCTGCGACGCAGACATACCCATCTGGCTGTATTGTGAATCCCTCTTTTTGTGCGCCATGACGCAGCAACCAAGATAACTGTTTACTCAATTGCACATTCGACTGGTGTTTTGTCATAATTGCCAATTACTCACTTGCGTAAATTTTCAATTTTGTACGAAGCTAAAACATTTCGCAAATAATCCCGAAGCAAATGTCGATAAGTTTATCGATAACAACAATTGTTGCGCTATACCATAGAGAGCTGCACTATCGCATAGACTGTGACCTCACAGTTCAACAGCTCAATACAATTTGAATTCAAGATTTTTTGACTTCATTATATATAATTACATTTTTATAATTATAGTATGTATTTTACTTTAATACCACTGAGTTATGAACAAATTTAATGCACTTCCTTAGCATAAGTTAATTTTCTTCTCCACATAAATACTTTCCGCCTATCGTTCGTTACCTTATACAGCATGATCCATGCTACTACTGTAGTGCCGGCTTTATCAACAATTGGACTTGCACAGCATTTCGAAATTCTTGTTATTTCATAATTATGCGTATTTTGGTACTTTATGGCAGTCAAACTGGCACCGCCCAAGATGTGGCCGAACAGATATGGCGTGAGTCACGTCAATGGGGCTTTCATGGACCGGTGCTGGCTCTTGAGGACTACAATATTCAACAGCTGGTCGAAGAACGTCTCGTTATCTTCGTGGTAGCCACCACGGGCGATGGCATGGAGCCCGACAATATGAAGCAAGCCTGGCGCTTCCTACTCAAACGCAGCCTGCCCAGCCACTCGCTGAGTGGTCTACAATTTGCGTGCCTGGGACTGGGAGACTCCAGTTATTCCAAATTCAATTATGCAGCCAAAAAGCTGCACAAGCGTCTGCTGAATCTTGGCGCCACGTCGATTTGTCCCTTGGGCTTATGTGATGATCAACATGACTATGGCCATTTGGGCACATCGCTGACCTGGACAGCGGAGCTATGGAAGACACTGAGTAATACTTTGGCTGTGCGCAAGCAAAAGGAGTCGATACAAGTGAAAAGGTGGAACGTGCGAGTGCTTGGACAGGAACCTTCTCTGGATGATGAGCGCCTGCTTTGGACACAGCGACAGGAGGCACACGTGTTCAAGTTAGCTGAAAATACACGCACCACAGCCGAGGATCATTTCCAGGATGTGCGTTTGTTGCGACTCAACAGAAGCACAGAGAACCCTACGTGGCAACCCGGCGATGTACTCGAAGTCCAGCCACAAAATAGTAGTGAACTTGTCAAAGACTTCTTTGATCTGCTAAAGGAACATCAACTTGACTTCGGTGCCGCCACCGTGGTAGAAGTGAGCAGTGCTCACGAGGATTTGCCTTTGCCTTTGGCCTACTCCAAACCACTCTCACTGCAGCAGGCGGCGAAGTATATTTGGGATCTGAGTGCCAGGCCGCGACAGCGGTTGCTTGAGGTGCTCGCACAGAACTGTGACGATGAAATGGAGCGCGAGAAGCTGTTGGAATTTTGCAGTGCTGAGGGTCTGGACGATCTGATATCGTATGTAAACAGGCCACGTCGCATGCTGTTGGAGCTGTTGCAGGACTTTCGGCATGCCATGGCCAAACTGACGATTTCCCAGCTATTCGAGATGATGCCTATAATACAAACGCGCAGCTTTTCCATTGCATCTGACCAATCTGCCAACACTCTTGACTTGCTCGTAGCTGTCGTTAACTATAAGACCATAATGCATACTCCACGCTTGGGTCTGTGCTCCAATTGGTTGAAGGACTTAGAAGCGGGCGTGGAATTACGGGCTGCCATCAAACCGGGCACCATGACCTGGCCTAAGGAGCACCAGACGCCGCTAATCATGATCGGACCTGGCACAGGAATTGCGCCCTTTCGCAGCATTATCCAGCATCGTTTGCACTTGCAGCAGTTGGGCCACATTGTGGGTTCTCTTGTTGTCTTCTTTGGCTGTCGTAACCAGTCAAAGGACTACCACTTCATGGAAGACTTTAAGGCATGGCAGGCCAATAACAGCGTGGAGGTGCATGTGGCCTTCTCGCGTGACCAGGAGAATAAAGTGTACGTGCAGCATCTGATCAAGGAGCACGGCTCACATTTGGCTCAACTAATTAGGGAACAGATTGCCTTTATCTATGTGGCAGGCAGCTCCAACAATATGCCAAAAGCGGTCAGAGAAGCATTTATTGAAGCGCTGGACAACGATGCGCTCTACATGGAGCAACTGATTAAACAGCGACGATATCAAGAGGAAACATGGGCTTGAGCACAAAAACTGATCAAAGGAGTCAACGACTCTTGCACGCAATAGACAAAAGTTTCAAGTTTCTTAGTTTCTATTTGTTGGACGGATATGTATAAACATCACGTGTTGAATTAAATATAGGCTAGCATTTTAAATTATACTGTTCCTAAACAACTAAAGAGCATTGTACTTTATGTTATTCAAAAATCTTTCAGCAGCAAATCCGACGAGGTGCGACAGAACGGACAATGACCCTTCTGCAAGACCTGCAGCTCGAAATCCTCTGCATAGAATAGCTGAAAAAATACGCATGAATTATAAATGGGAAACTTAGCCATCGGCATCTCAATCTTACTAGCAAACACTCCGAGCAGTAAGTGACCTGCAGATCGGGCAATATGTTACGGTAATATATGTTGCGTATAAGCTTATCCTGTCGCTTAAGTATTAGCACATGGTTGGGATCTATAGCGCGCAAGGCATTGCGATCCAAGCTCAAGGGCAGCGCGCTGGCCACATCTTCGTTAAAGGGATCCGCATCATCGGCATTCTTAGCAGGTGCCAAAAGCAAACGTTCCGCCTCGGCATCGCTGATGTCCACCTCCGGATGGAATTGTACTAAAGGCAAAATTTCTGCAAGGCGGGAAAGGAATTATAATCATAGTTGCATTTTTGTTTGGCTTCACTAACTCACCAAATGAGACGAATGAAAAGATATAGTCTTGTCTGCAGGTGGGACAAATATTGTTATTTAAATGCTGACTGTAATTGGAGCACTTGTAGCACAAGGGCAGCAGTTCTTCGGGATCATTGAAGCCACTCTTGCAGGCCTTGCTATTCAGGAAATTCAGCTGTAGATAGACGACAAATATTATGAAATGACTTTGATTATGTATGTGTAAACGCACATCGATTTGTTCCTGAACGCCCACAGGTGGCTTAAGCGATTGCAAACGCTTGTTGACCAGCAGACACAGCTTGTTTGCCTGCAACAGTTTGGCCTGCTTGGCCAGCGTGAACAGGACCGAGCTGTAAGTGTATAACAAAAAGTATTTTACAGACATATATATTTATATATATAGATTCGACATACAACATGCTGACGCCTTTTGGGGGGCCTTTGTTCTCCACTTCATTGAATATGAAGCGGCTCACATTGAAGAGGCTAACAGGTGAGTGGGTGGTAAATGGTTCCTTCATATAGTTAAAGATGACACTGTAGGCATAGTAGACCTTCGCGATGCGCAAATGGTTTTTGTACTCGTTCAGATGATGATCTATGGCATTTTGCTCACTGCAGGAAGAGAGAAAATTTTAAATTTTAAATTTTACAAGATATATAAAATATAGGATTAGCAAGCATACGGTTTCTCGTGGTAGATGTCCAGATACTGTTTAGCCAGCAGCCAGTAAAAGTAGCTGGCATCCAGGTAACGCTTCTCGACAATGGCCGTGTTGCTCAACTGCTTCAGCAAACGATTTGCATCCTTTGTGCGACCAGCTTTTAGGTATGCTGCGCGATAAAAGAAAAATTAATATTAAATTTAGAGTATTGAAGCATCTAGCCTTACCCTGGTGCGCTTCTATAAACTGATCTGTTTCTGCTAGCCACTGTGCATGCTGGTAATGTACAGTGGGCAGCAATTCTGGCAAAGCTTCGGCCAAGCGAAATGCTTCAGGCCAATCCTGTACCTCGACATGCAGTTGCACCACTTGAGCCTCGTCGCCCAGCTTCTTGAACATTTCAGCAGCAAGTGGCAAGGCTTTTAAGGTCTTAAGATTCTGGGCAACCGATAGCACAGCATCGCGTTCGCTCAGGCTCAGACGGCGGCCAATGTCGTACAGACTGGAAACAGAAATATAAAATAAGTGAAATATAGAGTCAACAAGACTATGGGACATAGCTTACACATCGGCCCAGCCCTGTTCAGCGACAATGTCTATAGCCTTTTGATGTTCGCCAGCGGAGAGCAGCAGCTCAGCAGCTGCGCGAGGTTCTTTCACGGAGTATGCCCACTCTGCACGCTTGCGTACGAGTTCACGTTTCTCTGCTTCGCTGCCATCTTTCAGATACTCCTGTGCCAGGTCGAACATGCGCAGATCCGTATACATTTCGAGCGCACGAGAGGTTTGATTGCACTTGAGAAACAAGCGTGCAGCCTCTTTGAATTTGCCCGCAAAAGCACAGCTCTCGCCGAGCAGCACCTCCTTGGGCACTGTAGCGCGCTGCTGTTGCTCACGCAGCTCGCTGATGAGCTGCAGCCAAGGCAAATTGCGCACCTTGACATAAGCATCGCGTGCAATGTTTATGTGCAGCGCTTCGAGAGCAGATTGGGCCAGACCCTCCCAATCGCTGATAGTGACGCCAAGGCAGGCCACCTGGTACGCCTCGCTGGAGGCACGAGAAGCAATGGATTAGCTTAGGTTCTTCTTTACGAAAGTCAATGCTTACTCAAACAAGCCCGCCTCGATGAACTGCCACATGGTGGCTCCAAGAGCCAGCGGAGTGTTGTGCATTATGTTGCCACGCAGACAAAATGCCGTTGCACCACACAAGCCCACCACTACGCCGTGCATATTCTGTGGTGCCCTGGGCGGCAGATTGCCCACACGCACGCTTAATCCTCCCGTGGTGTGCGTGTAGCAGAGCATTGTATCCAAATGCGTGTTCCAAGTGACGCTATTCACACCCACATCCTGGTAGAGTATTGTATCGTTGAGCAAATCGCGCACCACCAGCCGCCCAGCGTCATCGACGACCGCAATTTTGCTGCGATTCGCATTGATGTCCAAGCAACGCACCGCAGACACCGCCGTCGTAATCAGCAAAGGCAACGAATTGTTCAGAAAGATGCGAAAAACTTGTCCGTTCTTCAGACCCACCATGAGGCCCTCACGACCCGGCGGACCGCCTGTTACTTTGATATAACGTATAAACGAGTCCATGATCCATTCACGTAGCAATGCTCCATCAAAGTCCAGGCACTGCAGCCGCTTCTCCTGGCACAAGACAATATTCAGACCGCAGACAACAAGCAGACTGCAATCGAACTTCTGTTGAATCTTCTCCTTGACTTTGTAGTGCATGGGCTGGTTCTCTGTGGAGCTGAGTTCGTAGAGCACCACACGCTCTGGCAGCTGCACGGCCAGGCGGTTTCTATAGATGGCTATCTTCTGGACGAGATCGCGGCACTTGATGCGCACCTTCTGGCCCGAAATCAGATGCTGAATGATCACGTCGCACATGTTCTCACGAAAGGCATAGCGCTCCCGGTACAAAGCATGCACCGTGCTTGAGGCTATGTTGAAGCAGGCCAGCGTGCCATCCTGACAGCCTATGGTGTAGGACTGTCCATTTGGATGTATTGCCACCGACCAGATCCACGAGTCGAAGCCATCTCCAAGGGTGCCCAGGCGAACGCCATCGCGTGTAAAGAAGTGCAAGCTGCCGGTGCAGCCGCCAACCACACAGAACTCGCCATTGGGAAAGTATTGCATACAGAGCGGATCAAATCCTAGAGCACGCTCCTTGCCAATCACCTGGCCGCTGAGCGTGTGAAAGGACAACGTCTGTGCCCAATCGGCAACGGCAATGGTGTCCACGCTGCCAGCGCCATTGGCTGGACAGCATTGCACGCTAAATACGGAGCTGCTCGAGCCACCTGGACGATCAATGCGACTCTTTTCCTCACCCAGTTTACTGCGTATGGAGATGCTTCCATTTGCTAAGCCCAGGATCAAATACTGTCCATCGTTCGTCCAGGCACAGCCATTAACGCGCCAACCTATTTTATACTTCTGCACAGCCTTCTGATCCGCTGACCAGAAGGCAAAGTCCGAGGTGGAGCAGGAGGCCAAGTGGTGCGAAACGGGATTGAAGCACATGCACTGAATTGAGTCGCCGTGGCTATTAAGAGGAAATAGCTTAATCTTGTCCTACATTAATCTTGTATAGAGACTTACGAGTACTTGAGCAGCCCCTCCAGCTGTGGCGACCACACGATGACCATCTTATCGGCGGCGCCGCTAGCAAAGCGTTTGCCATCGCGTGAGTAAACCACCGAATTGACAATATCCTTGTGAGCCTTCAAAGTATTCAACAACGAACCGTCGTTTGGATTATAGATGAGCAGGCGTTCACCCGCCGCCACCACCAATTGACTGCCATCGGGCGCATAGCAAGCTGAATGTACGCTGGAAAAGAAGTGAAAAAATCTAGTTGGGGCAACAGGTGTTTATTTCTTTTCCAGCTCTAGTTGCCTTACCTGGTATTCTCGTCTTTGGCATTCGGAAATTCGATGCGCTCTAACCATTTCAGCACGCCACGCATTTTCTTTAATTTATAGCAGCTGCATAATCTCAATTTTTTACATTTTATTTATGTTTTGTTTGGGCCAAAACAATTGCTGCCATGGCAACCAAACAGACAGGTAGTCGATAACAGTAATTAATCGCCAAAGAGAGCTGTGGCCGCATTAGTACTTGATGACAGCGCGAATCTATCGATAACTAACAGCTGTTTTTTAGTACACACTGTGGGCGGTGTTGTCGGTTTGCAGTGAAATATCAAAACAATGAATAATTTGGATAGTTCGCTACAAGCGCATAACAAATTGGAAAAAGAAACAACCAATTTGGTGCTGCTGAAGGATCGTGTGGACAAGTATCATGATCTCTCCACGCAAATGTCCAGCATACTCACCATCTTCGAAAAGCGTTTGGGCAACTTGGAGCAAACCATTTTGCCCGTCTACCAGGAGACGGAACAGCTGCAAAAGAGACAACAGAGTGAGTAAATTTTAATATTGCGTTGACAAATTAAGTAAATGTCACGGTTTTCAGATTTGGAGGCCACACTGAACTGCCTGGAGAACGTGCTCTCCCACTATGATGTCTCCCAGGAAGTTTGCCAGCTCATCCATCAGGGTCCCATTGAGGGAAACATTGGCACTTTTTTGGATGCGCTGGCCAAGCTGCGAGCCGCCATGGATTACTTTCTGCACAACAATTCGCAAAGCGTAGAGCTGGAGAATGTCACCAGTTTATTTAATAATGGCTGCGAGGGCCTCAATCAGCATTACAGTATGCTGCTAAAGAAGCACAGCGCACCATTAAAGCCTGTAGAGCTACTGGATCTGATTTATATTGAGGATGATTCATCTAGCGATGAGTTCACATCTTTTCGCCAGCTCTCGCAGAGCACACGCGAAGAGCTCTTCACTATTTCACACTGGCTGGAACAGAATATGCGCGAATACACACACATCTATGCAACGGAACGTGGAGAAGTTGTACTGCGTTCTCTGCAAATGCTGAAGGATCATCAGAAGAGCAGCAGCTGGGGCACAGAGGCTTTGGTGAGTAATGTTGAGTATAAGAGAGTGATTTTTATTACCTTTCAACTCTCTCAATGTGGACCAGTGGGCAACGCTGGCATTTTCGGTTGTAACAGTGTAATGTGTGTGCTCTTTAATATTTGTGTTGGTGCATATTGAACAGTATAAGAGAAGCTGACGTGAAAGACTTGTGACCCGTATGTGTAACCTCTCAACACTCCTGCATTTGGATCGTGCAAACCGAAGAAGAGGTTTGAGAGACCTTGTGACGTGCCAATGCGTTACCTCTCAGCATCGTCTATGTAAACCACATATGCAACTCTGTGCGCCTAACGGCAGTTTTCCAAATAACTTCCGTTGATGGCGACCGTCGAGGCCATAATTAATTTTCGCATTCCAACAACGTCTCGTGTTATATTTGGAAATTTTCTTTTATTTTGTACGTGTTTTTTTCGTGTAAATTTATAACAATTGAAATGGCAGACTTTTGCACACCAAAGGAAGTTTGCCAATTACCGATGAATCGCATGCCCGATATTCACACGCTCTCCGTGGATAGCATCCATGTGCGCTGCTCCACGCCAATCGTGGGAAAATTGCGTTCGCCAAATTTGTCGCCCATCCGCAAGGATAAGCAAATGAAAAGTCCTGCCTCTCCGATGATCTTTGCGAAGCAATTCAATAAACCAACATCACAGCCACAACAATCGACCGCCAATCATATGAAGAATTCTGTCCTGGACGATGATAACAACAATAGCCTGAACAACTTTCTGGATGATTCGAGCGCCAACAATATGGAGACCTCCCTGACCGTGGAGTCGCGTCGTCGCTCCATTCAAGCGGCAAATCATTCCTATGTGCTGAATCATGCCACCAATGTAAAGGAGGTGCTGCTCCTCGTCGGCTTGGAAACGTATCTGGATAAATTCGAAAATTCGCATATTGATCTGTTAGAATTGGTATCCATGAAGCGAGCGGATCTAAAGAATTTAGGCGTGCGCAAAGATGAGGACTGCAATCGTATACTGGAAGCCCTCAAGGAGCTCTAAATAAGCAACAGCTTAGGCTATCGCTGGCTGATATGCTTAGGTTTTATTTATTATTAAAATCAATTTTTATGTTTAATTTATGAAGAATATGTGAAAAATATTTGTATACTAAAAGGTACTTTAAGTCTAGATTGATTGTGCGCTAGACTAAAGATTATATAAATATTTAAACCAGCCTCAAGCTTCCATAATTGTTTTATATCATAAAATAAATTCAATTTCTTGCAAAAGCACAATTTATTTTATTTATTATATATAATTATAAGAAAATCAAATTTTAAGTTTTATTTGCTTGTATCTGTGTGTTAAAAACTCATTCTCTTGCAGCGACCACGTCACAGCGGCCGGCAAAATGAGCCGAAGAAGAACACCTCAGCCAGACTGCAGCAAATGTGCGTAGCCTTTGTAGATACCCTGTAAAAATGCTCAATTCTAACTTTACCTCCCTTCAGCTTCGAGAAAAAGGCCAACAAATTGTATTTGCGTGCCACACAAACGATTGAGCAGTCCACTGGGTTCTCCATTAAGAAAGCCTCCTCGCACTCGGATCATCTTACCTCCGAGGATCTGCTCGATGGCGATCAGGAGTTGGACAAGTATCTGGTCATGTTGTTGGGCCTGCAGCGTCTGCTCAATTGGGAGCGCGCGATCATGCGTGATATCATACCTCAATCGAAGCATAATGAAGTATTTGCCAGACTGGCTTATAATGCTATCGATCTGGTGGTCAAGGATGCCGATGCTATTACTCAGCGCATTTTACGCTGCATTTCACGCAAGGAATGGACTTCAGCGCTGGGCATCTTTTCGGCGCTGAAACGTGTCATCCTACTGCAGCCAGACATTGAGCGCACCTACGATGCAGCACAGCGGGAACAGTTGACCAAAGTGCTTAACAAACTGCAGCAAACGGGCGCTAAGGCATTGGAGCACTTCCTGGACGTGGTCAAGGGCGAATCAAGCACAAATATTGTGGGCCAGAGCAATGTGCCCAAAGATGCGACTGTGCATGAATTGACCTCCAACACAATTTGGTTTATCGAGCATTTGTACGAACACTTCGATGTAATTGGCTCCATACTGGCACAGGATGTGCTATATTCTACGCAGTTGGACACGATTTTAATGAAGAAGGCGCTGCCTGGCGAGGAACGCAACAAAGCGCTGTTGGCTATCTATATAAGTATAATCAGCTAGATCAAGATTCGCTACCTTAGCTCATATAAATTCTTGTTTTTACAGAGAAAGCTTTGGCGGAGCTCAATCTGTCCATCATGAACAAATGCGAGCAATACAATGATCAGGCCACCAAGCATCTCTTCCGTCTAAACAATATACACTATATACTCAAATCGCTGCAGCGCTCCAATCTGATTGATTTGGTCACGCTGGCAGAGCAGGAATGCGAGCATAGCTATTTGGAAATGATACGTGAGCTGAAGACAAGCTACCAGAAGACCTGGTCCAAAATGCTTTCGGGCATTTACTCGCTGGAGGAGCTGCCCAAGCCAGTGGCTGGTAAAGTGAAGGACAAGGATCGCAGCGTGCTCAAGGAGCGATTTTCGGTAAAGGCTAACAATAAGACTGACAGAAGATGAGTTCAATTTTGTAATCTATAACTTATTGCAGAATTTCAACAAGGACTTTGAGGAGGCATGCAAAATACAGCGTGGCATCTCCATACCCGATGTCATCTTACGCGAGGGCATCAAACGCGACAATGTGGAGCACATACTGCCAAACTACAATCGATTCTTTGAGATGTGAGCTACTGCTAAGAATATGCATAAACCATCAGTAAATCGAACCCTCAACTCTCTTCTAGGTACGCTGGCGTGCAGTTCAGCAAGAATCCGGATAAATACGTCAAGTATAGGCCGCATGAGATCAATGCAATGCTTAGCAAGCTCTTCGATGACTCCGCCTAGTGCAAGCCAAGCCCAACCCATAGCATTCCCGCATCTTGTACGTTCGTTCGGCTTTTTAATTCCAACATAATAAATATTGTTTTTTAAAAATATTATACATACAATACGCAATAGACTGTAGCCTAAAAAATATTAAATGCCATGTAAAATTGGAAGAAATCCCCTTTCTTAGTAAAGGAAATTGGTGGATGGCGCCTCGGGTCGTCCACAGGCGCCGTAATGGTGCACAGCCACGGTGCTATTGGTGCGACAATTCTCGATGTCCAGGAAGCAGTCATTCAAATACGTCTTATTGTCGCTGCCACACACCGGCTCAAATTCACGCGGACAGATGCGAGCGCAGCCCTTAAACTGGAAGGCAGCTAGACAGCGCTTCAGTGGCACCACAAACACATGCTTGCCACAGTTCTCCTTACGCATGTGACACTCCGACTTGTAGAACTTGTTGTCCGAGCCGCACACAAAATTCGGTGGCTGCGCATCGCAGTCGGATTCACAGTCAGCGGTCAGGGCGCAATTCTTCAGCGAGACGGGCACCACGCGCAGATTGCAGGTGCGTCGCTTGAATTCGCACATCGAGCCAAAGGTGTTGCCATCGGAGCCACAAACCGGCTGCTGCTCGAGATCAGCACGCGTGCACGCATCACCACAATCCTTAACAGGCGAATTCAGATCCGTGCAGGGTCCAATGTGCGCCAAATTAACGCCGCGTCTGCGCAGGAATATGATCAGAATTGCTTATATAAAAGGCAACTTGAAGTAGGAATCAATACTCACAGACACGTGGCATGGGCCAGCTCACACTCGTTGTTATATGTCTTGGCATCGGTGCCGCACAACTTGTCATTGCGCTTCGAGCTAAAGATCGAGCCAAACAGATTGTTAAAGTCCTTGCAAGGCGGCAGCTGCTTGCAGCGTGTCAAACGGTTCTTGCACTTGTCCATGCTCATCTTCTGAATGGACTTGCGTTGAGGGCTGTAAAGGGAAAAAATCTAATTTTAATCGGCTTAAGCTTTAATTGATTAGCTTGTAAAATACAGAAGCTTTTGTAAGCTCGAATTGAAGCTTACTAAGAATTGTAGTTCATGTAAGGTTTCAATGCGCTTTCAAAGCTTTTTTACTTAGAATTTAAAGCCATTCTTTTTTTAATTACTATGTTAAAGCTTAAGAAGGTGAGCTTCAGGCTCGCTTTCTATTAATGCATTAAAGGAAGCTTAATAAAAGTCTTTAGATAAATGTGTAAACAGTTATCAATGCTATAGGACTTTAAAAGGCTTTGAAAGCTTCTTTCATAGTAATTGAATCATTGAATGTGCTTCTAAAGCTCAATCAGTATTAAATCCTTAACAATTGAGCTTAACCAAACCTAACCTTACATCTTAAGCTTTTCAGTCTTATATATATATTTATATATTTTCAATCAACTCACCCGCAGTTGAGCATCTTCAGTTCGCAGAGGGATGAGTAGATATTGCCATCGCTGCCGCAGACATATTGCGATGTGGCATCTGCCTCCGATTTGGGGCACTCGGTGGGGCATGTCTCCGCCGACTGGCTGCCATGTCGTTCTTGCGGCATGCAGAAGGACAGCGGCACTTCGAACACATGCTTGCCACAATTGGTGGAGCGCATCTTGCAAGGACTGGCATAGAGACGGCCATCCGAGCCGCAAGTGGGCCTTGCCACACGCCAGCAGGACTCGCGGCACATGCGCGTCGATTGGCAGTGCTTGCGGCTGGTCTTGACGACGCCCTGACCACAGGTGTGCAGCTTCATCTCGCACGTGGAGTTGTAGACATTGCCATCGGAGGCACAGATGGGTCCATCCTTCGGCGCACTGTTACAGTCCACGGGACAGGATTCGCGCTGGGCGCTCGTGTTGCTGCAAGGACCCACATGCGAGAGCTTGACAGCCGCCAGGCCCACGCGGCACGACTGAACGCGCAACATGCAGCGATTCAGATAGGTGCGTCCGTCGGTGCCACAAACGGGATCCTTTTCGGTGCTGCAACGATGCTTGCAATCGGAGCCCTTCGAACGCTCGCAGCCATCGCGCACGTCCTTGATCAGGGAGACGCCATTGCGGGAGCAGGTTTTCTTGCGCAGCTCACACAGATTGGCATAGATGAGGCCATCAGTGCCGCAAACGGGCTCCGCGCCCACCGTCAAGCTGGGCGGACAGGAACGTGGACAATTGTTGTTGGCATTCGTGCTGGACGCACTGGCTCTGTGCTGCCGACCCATGGTCAGCTGCTGCTGCTGATCCAGCTCCTCCTGCAGCAGATTCTCCAGTGCCGCAGCCGCTGCACCCGGCGCCTGCATCAACGTGGCCGACAGCTCTGGCTGCGCATCCTGCCGATAGTTGATCAAGAGCGAATCCGGCGCAGCATCCGCGTTTCGATAGCGTATCACAGGCGCTTGTGCCGGCAATTTAATGATCTTAATGGGTGAATCTGTAACGGCGCCTGCAGCGAGACAGGGAGGCAAAGAGAGAGAGAAAGCGTGTGAGAAGAAGAAGAGGAGATTTAAAGTTGCTGTGCGTTAAGTTTGCTTGCGCTCGGCATGCGGAAGAACTGCCACGGGGCATACAAATTACGGATTAGCTGTGAGTGAGCTAAAGCATATTACGCAGTTGCCCCTTTTCCAGTTGCTGCTGTTGCCCGTCGTGTTGCGCACATGTCGTGTCACGCACGTAAGAGCTCCAAGCTGAGTGTGATAATGATTCTGGTGCGAACTGCAACTTTTTTCTTGCTTAAAATCGCTCTACTATGCAATTCTCATAAACTGAAGAACTACCCCAGGTGCTTTGATTAACAATTCTTTTTTTATGATTTACTTTAATTAAATATTTTTAACATAAAAATAAATGAAAAATAAAATGTAAGAATACTACATTTTATTTTATTTTAATTAATTAATTAAATTTTGTTGTTAACCTTTTTCAAATAGCTTTTTATGTTTTATTTCTTATTTTTTTTCATTATTTTTTATTTTCATTTGCTTTTATTACTTTTTTTATTTTATATTTATTTTAATTCTTTTTCTTCTTAGTTTATTTTTTGTTTTATTTTTTATTTTAAGTTTTACTTTTTAATTTTTTTTTTTTTAATAAAATATATAATATATATTTTTTAAATTTGTTATGTATTTTCATTTGTTTTTTTTTTTGTCTTATTTTTACTTCTTGTTTTACTTTTTTGAATACTTTATTATTTACATTTTTTTATGAATTTCAATTACATTTTTAAGCTACCCACACAATTCGTTTTTAATTGCTTCTCCCCAAGACGTCGTGTCACGCGCTCAGCCCCAACTAGCTAACGCTGCCCCGCCCCACCGCTAACGATTATTATCAGTTGACTAATTCCCATATAGCGAATGTGGCTTGCGAGTTAGTTGAGTCGAGCTGAGCTGAGGCAGCTGAGGCGTTCGCAGAGATCCACGCTAACGGCACACAGCCCACACACAAGTTGCAAAAAAAAAAACTATTTAGTACATATCAAATGACCTCCATCTATAATTGCGCTTGCTAATCCCCAAACCAGAGATCGCTGAGACTATCTTAAAAAATGAAAGAAAAAAAAACTGCAAGTGAAATTTTCACAACTAATTGCCTCGCCGGCAACGGCCCGAAAATTTCTGTCCACAGAAGTTGGAGTTGGAGTTGGAGTCGTTCTCTTGGATGCTGGCCTACGTTTGGGCATTGTTTGTAAAGAAAGCGGAGGAAACGGCAGCAGCCAGCAGCCAGCAGACAGCTTAACCAAGTAGAAGAGTAGAAAATCTATTAGCAGCTGCTGCGGCTGCTGCTGCTGCGTTTGCTGCTGCTGCGATTGTTTGCTTGAGATAATTGAACCCACGTTCATTATTTCAATTTGTAGCAGCAGCAGCTGCTGCCGTTGCGTTAAAAAAAAGCGAAAAGATAAACAATAAAAAAGCGAATGCCAAGACTTAATCCAGACGCAGTCGCATTCTCAGCTTATTTAATGGCCACAAGTAGAGAAAATTAAGCGGCGTTAGAAATTAATACAGACATCAGCGGCGCAGAGTGGCGCGCATTCCACATACGAGCAGTGCAGTCACAGTCGCTCTCTGACATCGGCTCCTGCTATCGGATGCCATCAATTGCAACAACAACAACAACAACAACAACAAATCGCATAACGTATAATTTTCAAAAGTGGCAAACAACAACAACAGCAGCAGCAGCAGCCACAGCTCGATGCTAGGCAGGCTCAAGCCGGGACAGCAAAAGCAGACATGATATATGTGTGTGCGTGTGTGTGTGTGTGTGTGTGTGTGTGTCGCTGCTGCCCCCACATATCATGATGCCAGCTGCACAGTGGTGCAAGGCTAAACATAAATGGAATTGCAGAAATGGAAAATGCAAATTCGTTGAGGCGGAAAGTTTGCTTAAATATATGAGAAGTGCATAGAGAGGCGCTGCGTAGCAAGCAAAAGTATAAATAAGTAAATTATGAATTGAAGAAGCAAAGTTAATGTAAATTTAACTCATTTTTACTGAACGTAAGAAGCTGAAACCTTTAGCTTTGCTTTCTTTCCATATCATACAGCACTGTTCTATGTGCTTCTCATATAGAACAGTGCTGTATGATGTGGAAATAATTTTTTTAGTTAGAAATAGTATTTATTTATTAGATAAGCTCAATAACAAAGTAAATAAGAATAGTTTAACTAACCAGAATGAAATATAATTAAACTAATCAAGCCATTTATAGTATCTGAGAAACACATAGAAAAGCACTTTAATAAAATTAAAATTCTTCTAGAAACAAGCCTCTAAATTTTGTTACTTTGCTGTAAACATTTGGTATTGCATGGAATAGTTGGAAAAAGGGAAAGTGTAAAGTAGCGTTGGGAAAGTGTTAGCTTAAGTTATTATTGCCTGAATAAAACCCACACAGAAAAACAATTCACGAAAAGTATAAGATTGAAACTGTACTGAATGAATTTGATACGCTGAGATTTTATATGTCTATACCATATGAGATGCGCATAGAAAAGCGCTGTGAAAAGCAAACCGATTATTTATTATCCATGATTTTTCCATTCCTCACCAACATAAATGGAAGACAACGAACCTAGCATAGTTAAAAGATTCCAAGATAATCTAAAGACTTCAAATGATAAATTTAATAAATAATTAAAGAAAAGATTGCGGATAATTATCCATTAAATGGATCAAGCAATTAAATTTTGAACCGAAGAGAACTCGAGATAGCAAATCAAAGCTCGAAATCACAATTGCATGAGGCCGCCACAACTTAGTCATCATCAGCTCAAATTGATGATAACTGGAAAACAATGTCGTGATCTCTGCAGAACAGAAGAAGAGAATTTTTGATTTCAATTAAATGACGAACGTGTCGAACCAGAGGCAAAACGCTTTCAGCAATTGCCACCGAGCAGCGGGTCAAACTCTTTAATGATGACCTCATAAGGCAATCAAACCAAATTGTTGGCTGCACTCCACGCACACACACAGACACACATGCACAGAGAGTGAGTGAGCATTTTGAGCCCAGTTTGAACCACTGTAAACCCCAACCGCTGGGGTTCGAGTCTCTGCTGTGTTTAATGAATTTATTTGAATGTTGGACAAATTGTGCACGACGGGCAAAATTTACGAGCCTTTACTTTTACGCTGTACGTTCTGTTCGAGTGGGCACTGTAAGGGGCCACGGGGGATCGTGGGCACATGCCACAAGGCGAGGAGTTGGGGGCAGGGGCTCCAACTCTCTGATGTGTGTCAGTTTTACATTCACTTTGTACTCGTACCTTAGATATTAATTGCTGCCGCTGCTGAAGACAACAGTGAAGACAATGTTGGCCTTTCTACTACGAGCCTAACCCCCCGCAAGGCCCAGCTTACAGTTAGTTAGCTTAAATGTACAGTAAGCGCTTGCATATGAGTACTTTAAGAAAAAAATATAATTTAAAAAGATTAATTTGAAGCTTATGAAATTGTAGTCTGAACGTCGTTTTTAGTAAATGTTTACTGTACAATACTTACATAAAAATAAATTTTAAATTATATTTATTTATGCCAACTTTAGGCTATATTACTTGTTTTTATATTTACTTTAATTCTACCTGACCAAAAACAAACGAGTTGCATTTAGCCAGCATTCACTGTATTACGCTATATGACTTACCATTAGTGAGCATTGCCGTTAACATGCATGTTAGCAGTGCGCCAAACAGCTGGCACTGGAACTTTAGCCTAAAGCGAGTCTGGAACGGGCACATCATTTTCACTGTCGACTGCACTTTCCTGGCCTAGCCTAAACGTAGCAAAGGAAGACGAAGTGCGAGACGAAGACGAAGTCGTGCGTGTGTGAGTATGCTTTATTTGCTTGTGTGTGTATATGCGTGACTACGACGCTTTCGCTCGTTAACAATTGAAATAGAAGCAGTTGCTATTGTTGTTGCTGCGAGTGCGACTGCTGCTGCGACTGCGACTACTTCTCAAGTTCAATACCAGCTATGCGACGGCGTGCAAAGATCACGGCGCACACGACTTCGAAGAAAGTTTTGAACAGTAGCTGTAGGCAGCGCCTGTGCAAGAGAACTGCTGCAAGCTGCCAGCTGTGGCCGAAGCTGAAGCTCTGCGACGCGGCTAAAGCTCAAATTAACGGTTTTTAGCGGTTAGCGTTTAGCTCATTTGGTTTGTTCTGTGGACCTGCGTTAATTCGGTTGCCTATTAAGCATTAAAGCGAGGCTTGCGGTAATTACGCAAAGAGCTCTATATAATCTGCTGGTAACTCGTCTCGCTTTGACCTCTCGCACAATGTGGCATAATTTCTTTTTTATCGCCCTGCCTTTTAGTTGTTTTCTTATCTGTTCCTTTATTTTTTTATTTTTTTTTTTGTATTTTTTGTTTGTTATTTTTTTGCACGTTGCTTTAATTCGATTTCAATTACGACTGTGTGCCTTTTGAAGTTTACCACAGTTACCGTTTGTTCAGTCAGTTCGTTCGTTCGTTCGTTCTTCTTCTTCCTTTGCTTCTTTTATGCTTTGCTCTTTTATTATAGCTGTATGCACACAAAATATCTTTTGATAGTCTCTTGCGGGGCGGGCACTCGAGTTCAGTTCTTTTCTTCAGTGTAGTTCGTTACTCTTTAACCGTAACCGTTTGAATTTGATTTTTTTGATGCGCGCTCGTTGAGTTTCGCATGCGAAGTGATTCGCTGTGATGCTGTTCCGTGCGCAGTCGACGTTCGGCGTTGACGTTGACGTTGACGTTGGACGTTACAGCGGCTGCATTATTTATTGTTGTTGGCTGCCGCTGGACTGCTGCGTTTTCAATGAATGAACACACACATGCGCAACTTAGGCTCGCAAACACACACAACCGAACCGCGCGTTCGCCTTTTTACACATTCATAAAATTATAGGCTCTGATTGTTGTAGTTGTTGTCGTTGTCGTTGGTGTTATTGCAGCTCCAGCTCCAATTTGATTGTTGGCGACAAAAATCTTAGTTGTTGCGACTGCGCCGTCGTACCGAACGACACGAGAGAAAGGTTTGAATGACACTCACACTCGAATTTGCAATGCCATTTATATGAGTGAAAGGCAGTCGCAGCGCAGCCGCAGCGCAGCTGGCGTTAGTTGGGCGCCGCACAGTGGGTAGCTGATAGTACCTAAGTGAAAATTGTGGAAGATGTTTTATTTATAAAAAAAATAAAAAAATATAATATTAAAATAATAATACAAAAAAAATATATATATATTAAAAACCAACAATAAAATTAAAAACTAAAATTAAAAATTAAAATATATAAAAAAATGTATATATATATATATATATATATATTAAGCAAGAATATAGGTAACATTAAAAGTAATTGGATAAAATAATTTAATAAGTAAATAAATAAGAATATATAATATTTAAATAGTAATCTTACTATTTATTTTCACAAAAATTCTAATTTTTAGAATTTTCTGTACAGGAAGCATGAAAATAGACAGATTTTTGCCACTACCTTAGCACACTGTGCGACGCCTTCACAGTGCGGCGCTTTGTTCGCCGTGGCTTTGACTGCGCTTTAGCCATTGATTAAATGGAGTTGTCGGTATTTAAAATAACAACTTGGTCATGTTGTCTAGCAAAAACCTAATCGGTTTTGCGTACAAATTTAATTTGCCAAAAGTGGCAGCAAAATGCAACCAAAAAGGCAAACCGCGCATTTGAAATTATAACACACACATAGACTGAGGCCCGCTAACTGTGCAACTGTGCAGGCGGACAGTGGGACGGACGAGCTGTTGGTTTGTCGCCGTAGAAAGTGCGCACTGAAGCTGGAGTCGGAGTCAGAGTCGATGTCGATGCTTAAAAGCCGCAGACGTTGCTAGCTGGAAGCTGTGTTTATAGACTTGTCGACTTTTAAGCCATAAATTTTACGCCTGAGTGGCGTTGGCGAATAAGGGTCACACACACACACTTATACGCACATATGTATGTACATAAATAGATGAGCTTTGGCGGAGGCTCGCGTGCATAAAGAAAATTTGAGCGCTGCAGCGCAGCAGCTGGCAGAAAAAAGAGGTCAGTAAGTGAATGTTTACAGTTAGCTTTTGGGCAACCAGACAGCCTAAGCGGCATAATGCATCTGACAGCCATGACACAGCAGCCACAGCCGCCCAGAACTAATGCCGCGCAGATCACACCACTTCAAAGACAAAAAAAAACCAAAAATTAATTAAAAGAAAGCCTCGAGTAAAAAAAACCTTTGGCAGCATTGCAATTTCTTTTTGGCCATAACCAAGATTTGATGTCGTGGTTGCCAATAAAAATGGAAAGTGAAAATTGTAGCTGCAATGCCTGCATGCATATTAAAAACAAAAAAGCAAAAACTAAAAAAAGAAGCAAAAAACCTAAAAAAAAGTGTAATAAAGATAGAAGCCAAACGCAAAGCAATAACAACGGCCACGCACCTGTTCTGCAGGTCGTGCGAGTTTTCTTCGACTCTAATCACAGGCTTAGCTAAAAAGCCCGAGTATTATATAAAAAATGATGATAGAGGAGCGCGGAAATTATATGGCAAAATGGTAAAATCAAAAGTGCTTGTTATGAGTGCACTTGTGAAAATGTACCAATTTTAAATTGATGAGCCAGTAGCATGCATAGTTATTTGCCATGATTTTCACTAGTTTCTATTTTTCCTTGCAGTCTTATGCTAATGATCCCGCAAATAGGCAAATCACGTTATCGCGCATTTTCCCTGCCATTTGAAAAAGTAACAGTCTTAATTTATTAAGTCAGCACTGGCTAAGCAAATTTGCGTTATTCTCTGAATTTTGTAACACTGCAAACAGTGTTGCCTTACATACCTATCGATACGGGCCAAAGTATCGATAGTTTTGTTTAACATCGCTACCCACACACATACACATACTGGCACACACATGTACGCACACAGCCACACTCATTGAAAAAGTCAGAGAATTGTGTGGGAAATAAAAATCGTGTATAACTAACTACGAAACGCGCAAATTGTGCAAATGCGGATGCCCAGTGCTAAAGGCAAAGTGAACGTTTTGATAAAATCGGATGCGCTGGCTGTTTGGGCAGCTAAAAATTCATGTTGTCGCTGTAACGCAGCGCACTGAGTGAGTGAGTGAGTGAGTGTGTGTGCGTGTGTGCGTGTGTGCGTGCGCGTGTGTGTGAAGAGTGAAACCTACAACTTTACTCCCCAAACCAACAGCCACACCAACAACAACAACGACGACGACGACAACAACAACGACAGCAGCGCAGCAGTGTTGAGAGAAAAGATGGCGACGAGTCGCACCAGTCGCATACAATCACAACCAAAAATTTTTCCTTCAATCTTTTCGAAATTACATGGAGCAATATCGGAAGCATGCGTCTCGCAGCGCCTATCGACGGACAAGAAGACGCTGGAGAAAACGTGGAAACTGATGGACAAGGTGGTCAAATTGTGCCAACAGCCCAAGATGAATCTAAAAAACAGTCCACCCTTCATATTGGATATACTGCCGGACACGTATCAGAGATTGCGTCTTATCTACTCCAAGAACGAGGATCAAATGCATCTGCTCCATGCCAACGAACATTTCAATGTATTCATCAATAATCTAATGCGTAAATGCAAACAGGCCATAAAACTGTTCAAAGAGGGCAAAGAGAAAATGTTCGATGAGAATTCGCATTATCGTCGCAATTTAACCAAACTGAGTTTGGTCTTTTCCCACATGCTCAGCGAGCTAAAAGCTATATTTCCCAATGGTGTCTTTGCGGGCGATCAGTTTCGAATCACTAAAGCCGATGCAGCCGATTTCTGGAAGAGCAATTTTGGCAACAGGTAACAGCTTCACTAATATCCAACAATTTGTGCGGGCAGTAAACGGCACTGGATTTTGTTCTTATAATTTGTTTAGTACACTGGTGGCTTGGAAAATCTTTCGTCAGGAACTTAATAAGGTGCATCCGATATCATCCGGCCTGGAGGCGATGGCATTGAAGACAACAATCGACTTGACGTGCAACGATTATATATCGAATTTTGAATTCGATGTATTCACGCGACTATTTCAGCCTTGGGTCACATTGCTGCGCAACTGGCAAATACTGGCCGTTACCCATCCCGGCTATGTGGCCTTTCTGACCTACGATGAGGTGAAGGCTCGTCTGCAACGGTACATCCACAAAGCGGGCAGCTATGTCTTTCGTTTATCCTGCACGCGGCTAGGCCAATGGGCCATTGGTTATGTGACGGCCGATGGAGAGATCTTACAAACAATACCCCAAAACAAATCGCTGTGTCAGGCGCTGCTTGATGGGCATCGGTAAGGATCAAGGGAGACAGAGAGAGAGAGAGATACTGATCTATCTCTGGATTAATTATTAATTAATGGATTGCTTAACTATTTATTTAACCTTTAAATATGATTCATAAGTGAATCTCTATGTTATCTATAATTTAGAATCTGTTAATATGAACTGTTTAGCTTAGGATTAGGGCTATGATATTACGGCTGTATGCTCAGTCTAAAGCTGCCTTTAACTCTAATTTATATAATATTAATGAATTTTTGCTTTTTTTCCGTCTCGCCTTTAGCGAGGGCTTTTACTTATATCCCGATGGCCAAGCCTACAATCCCGATTTGTCCTCCGCCGTACAAAGTCCAACAGAGGATCATATAACAGTTACACAAGAGCAATACGAGCTGTACTGTGAAATGGGTAAGTTTGTCAATTTAGCTGCCGCCGACTACCCTAACATAAACAACCCTTGCAGGCAGCACCTTTCAGTTATGCAAAATCTGCGCAGAGAACGATAAGGACATACGCATCGAGCCTTGCGGTCATTTGCTGTGCACGCCCTGTCTCACAGCCTGGCAGGTGGACTCGGAGGGACAGGTAAGCTAGTCGCATCTCAACTGATTCCAAGCTAACTAATATCCATCAATTTGTGCGCTGTAGGGATGTCCGTTTTGTCGTGCCGAAATCAAGGGCACCGAACAGATCGTTGTGGATGCTTTTGATCCGCGCAAGCAACACAATCGCAATGCAACGAATGGCCGACAACTGCAGCAGGACGACGATGATACAGAGGTATAGTTTAGTGCAGCGCTTATCAAAATCAAAACAAAAAAACCATAAGAAAGCCTTTGACGCCTGCCCCGCGCTGCCCGCCTGTGCTGCCTCTCTATCTCTATCTCTCTTATATATACACATAATCTTATTACATATATATATATGTATATCAATTTTAGTTCGTTTATATATACATTTATATATGTATATATATATATATATATATATATATATATATATATATATATATATATATATATATATATATATATATATATATATATATATATATATATATATATACATAGACGTTCTATTTATATATTAAGTTTATTGTTTAGCGATTTTGATTCATACGTAAATTATTAGCCACAATTTTTCATTGCAACTAACAGAGCTGTGCGCACACAAAACGAGAAACGCCAACATTTTGTAGCGTAGTGTTTATTATGTGCATATATATGTATGTGTATATATGCATATGCATATGCATATGCTTGTATTTATTTATTTATGTAGCGTACCGAGCGGAAGTTACTCATCAGTCGCTTATTATTACTATTTTGTTTTATCAACGCTCTCGCTTGTTTCTGTCGGTTTTGTTTGTGCACTCTGTTCTTGTTGATTTGTTTCGTTTTGTTGATTGCTTCTACTTCTTCTTTTTTCTTTCATTCGTTCTACCCTTCTACAAACTAAATTCATTCATTCATTCACGCTCGCTCGCCTCTGTTTATGATTTCATTTGAATCGTATGATGTGTAACAAAGTTCTTGAACAACTATATTATTAAGCAACAACTATGATTTATATATATATATATATACAGCAAAAGCTGTATTTGTATTTCCCCCTAGCACTTGTGCACCTTTTGTAAATACCTTAGCTATTAGTTAAACGAAACGAAACCTGTATTTGCACTCCGTTCTTCTTCCATTTATATACAACAAAAACAAAATATGATCTATTTTCGCACACATTTTAGTTTATGATTTGATACTTCCAAAGATATGTTTAGTTCATCATGAGTGGTTTATAATTTTTTTGTGTTTGTTTTAGTTTTTGCAAATCGGTTTTCATATAGATTATATATATTTGTGTGTGTGTTTTTTGTACGCAGCGCTGCAGCTGCCCTAAGACTGTAATTTATTAATTATAATATTTAAAGGAAAATCAAAATAATAAGGCTAAAAACAAAATGATCAAGGCCAATGCATATGTATGTAAAATTATCATTATCATTAACATTATTGTAATTTTTTACAATTATAATTATTATTATTATTTTTATTGTAGTTAGTTCTTAGTTTGTTAAATGTCACAAGCCTAGGCCAGAATTTATGTAACAAAAAAAAAAAACAAATTTTCAAAGTATTAGCAAAACGAAATTAACATTGTGTGTGAGCGTGTGATCTGTGTATGTATGGGTGTATGTGTGTGTGCCTTTGTTAACTCTTATCATTCATAATTGTTTAAAAAATTTCGGCTCAAGTTTGTTTCCTTAACATTAGGCTTCAGCATACATCGATTTAGCATATTTCAATTAATAATTAATAATTATTTATGTTTTAATTATATATATATATATTTAATATATATGTTATATATATACATATATATATATATATATATATAAGTGCAAGTATATTTTCTTAGATTTAATTTTTGATTTCCTTAAAACAAAAAAAAACTGAACAGCAGAAGAAAAAAAATATATATATGTGTATAAATATTTATAAATATTGGTTTCAATTGTTTCATTTTGTTCTTTGAATTTGTCTACAGTTACTCTTGTTGTTGTTGTTGTTTTTGCTCCTGTTTTTATTTGATATCCTTGTTGCTGTGCATGTCCGAATCAAAACTTTGACTTGCAGCCACGTTTGCTCTAGGGGCATGCCATCTAACCAACCCACTCTAGCCACAATAGACACACAGCCAACCCACCAACCAACAATTGACTACTACAAAACTCCAAACTACTCCTACTCCAGGATATGGGCGACTTCAATATTGCCACAAGTTCGCTGCATGCGCTCAGCACCTCGGCCGCCTCGCAGTCGTCCATGGAGAAGCACAGTCCGCACACGTCGCCGCGGCTGGGCAGACGCAGCACCACGCCCAGCTTGATGGCGGTGCAGAATGATCTGTATGCGGGCGGTGCGGCAACGTTTAGTCTGCCCAGCAGCAGCTGCAACAGCAGCAGTAGCAGCAATAGCAACAGCAACGCCGGCAGCTCCGGCACAACCAACTGCGCGCAACAGCAGCCCCAACCACAACCACAGCCACAGCCGTCGGCACCACCTGCTGCTGCTGTCATCAGCAATGGCAGTGGCAGTGGCAGTGGCAGTGGCAATGGCAATGGCCAAGCATCCACGCAAAAGTCAACGAACCGCATGAGTGCACCACTCATCGGCTCTAGTGTGAACAACTCCACCTACGGGCAGAAGTTGCCGAGCAAAACGGACAGCGGTTCGAGCGGCGACACGGCCTCCATTAGCTCCTATGCCATACTACAGAATCTACAGGATAATGCCAGCTCCAGCTGCACAGTGGCTTCAGCTGCAAGTTGTTCAAATGCTGCTGCTGTTGCTACTGCTGCTGCTGGTGGTGCTGCAGTGGCACCGCCCTTGCCGCCGCGCAAGTCGCCCGGCATGGAGACGCCAGTGAAGCCGAATGCAACGCCCTCGACCAGCAAGAGCATCGACAACATACAGTGCAGCTTGGACAATGTGCCGCCGCAGACAACGGCACCACCCATACCACCGCATGTGAGCAGCAGCGTGGATACCTTGGCCGAGGACTTGATGCGACAGCAGCGCATTGCGAGCAGCACCACATCGCCGGTGCTGTCCCTGCTGGACGAGATGGTGGAGGTGGGGCCAGCTGAGACTATCAGCGGTGTCATCGACACACGTCCGCTAGAAGCGCGAGGCACGTTGCCCAGCAGCAGCACCACCGCCACCATCAACTCCAGCAGCAGCAACAACAACAGCAGCAGCAGCAGCAATTGCAGTGGTGCCCAAGATGCAGCCACTTCGCACTATACGCAATTGTGCACCACCACGACCAGTGCAGCGGCTCTGGCGGCTGCCGCCACGCTGGCCAATGGCAAAAAGACAACGTTAAAGCAGCCAACACCAGCGGCTAGTCCTGGACAGCTGCAGCAACAGCAGCAACCACTGCTCTATGCGAACGTGACGATCAATCAAAAAGACTGCGGCCCCACTGTGCCCTACGAGAATATCAATCTGGAGTATATAGCGCGCCTAATGAATGCCGGCTACTCCAAGGAGAACGCAATCACAGCTCTGGGCATCTCGAGGAACAACATCGAAATGGCTGGCGACATACTGCGCGAGTTTGTCTCCAAGAATAGCGCCTAAGTGCCCGCCCTCTAAACCAACTCCCGCCCTCCGCCAGCTCCCTGTCACCCTCACCTAGTCTCTCTCATACAGTGTGATCCCAGGAGGAGTATTGTTGATGATGTTAATGATGATGATGAAGAAGACGATAATGATGATGATGATGATGATGATATGATGATATGATCCCAGAACAAAGCAAAAGGCAAATGATAATTCATAAGCATAAATTTAAACAGCTCTCATAGCGCGCTCTCTCTCTAACTCTAAGTCTAAACTCTATATAAATTTATATATACATATATATATATATATAAAATTTCTCTAAAACGCTTTACTCCCACACTCACACACACACACATATACAAACTTCATTTAGACTTACGCTACACACACACATACACACGCACACCCATTCTTGGCGTAGCCAGCACAAGCAATTAGGCATTAAAACAAGTCGTTCGTTCTCTTTAAAAATTTAAAATTAATATTTAAAAATATAAAAAATTTAATAAATTTGAAAAAAAAATTATTAAAAAATAATTCGTCAAATTCTCACACTATTTAAAGCAAAAAAAAAAAATTTAAGCACAAACCATTTATATCAAATATAGCTATATATATATTTATATATATATAAGACGTATCTACTTCCTATTAAGTAAAAAAAAAAAAATATATAATATATATATATATATATATATATATATATATATATATATATATATATATATATATATATATATATATATATATATATATATATATATATATATATATATATATATATATATATTTTCTTATATGCAGCTCTAACTGAAACAAATATTTGCCCACCCCGAAAATGAACAAGATATAAATTTTTTATATTTATTATGCGCTCTTCAATTAATAAAAGACAAAAAAAAACATTCATTGACGAAAAGTCATCAATAAAAAATTGCAAACAAATTTTAATTGGTGCATCGGCAATCATTATAAAAACAATTCATAAAAAACACATAAGACAACAAATCCAACATGCCTTTGAAGCCGATCTAGAGATTGGCCCTAAGTTTACTGATTTGATGGAAGAACAAATGAAACACCAATAAAAAGTTACCATGACCCGATGCACTATCAGAGAGTTTACCTCGATTTTTTATACAAAACTCAGACGTTTTTTGTAATATTATATTATATAAGTCGAAAAACCCGAGCGAAAGATTGACGCATAGAAAGCAGATTAACAAAAAGATATCCAGGAAACCAAGTGTGTATTAAACCCTTTTTACTGAATTTATATATATATATATGTATATGAATACATACATATATACATATATATATATTATAAAGCGAATAATCGGTTTTTTTAAAATTCGTCGATAAAGTTCTTAACCCAACACGCAATTTTTTGACATATACTACTAAGCGATATATATATATACATAGGCGATATAATCATAATAAAACCAAACAAATTCGAAAGAAATCAATGCAATATTCACTATATATATATATATATATAAACATATATATATATATATAAACAAATCAATGCAAGCGCAAAACTTAGTACTAACATATAATAACCTCAAATCGAACTATTTATGAAATATTTGAATTTTAAGATACCGAAAAAACAACAGCGTTAAAAACAAATAGCATAGAGCATAGCAACAAAAAGAAACGCAAAGTAAAAGAGAAAGCGGAGTCAAGTCAATAAAATAAAAAAAAAATAAAATTACAAAGCAAATCGATGTAGGAACGTCTAAAATTAAAAAAGAAGAGAAAAAAGTGCGATACCATACCATAGTCATGTCATATAACCCAGAAATATTAAGCAGATATAAATTATTCTTATAAATAAAAATAAAAAAAAAAACACAAAAAGAAATCTGGACAAACTTGTTTCTCTCTAATTGTTTAAGACTGTAAATTGAGAAATTTTAAAGCTTTAAAAAGTTAATGCTGTATGATCGGAGGATTAAATTTCATTATAATTTGTATCTTTTGATATATTTTATGTAAAGTTAGAGCAAAACTGTAAGGATAGATAATACTTTATTTAATTTATTGTTTTTTTTTTTTTGTAATTTATTCGTTTTTTATTTTATTTTTGTTAATTCATTTTTTTTTATTTTTTTTTTACACATTTTTTTTAGTTCACTTGAATTAAATTCAATTCCTTTTTTGATTTTTATTTATTTTTTATATATTTTTTTTCTTTGGTTAAGGAAAAGAAATTAATAATTGATATAATAGTATTCAAAATAAATTCTTACTCTTTATTTTGTTAACAAAATAAACATTTTTACAAGATGAATTTAATAAGAAATTAAACAAATTCGTCTTTCATTTTTTAAGTTTAAAAAAGAACAGAAATTATTTAGCATAACTTTTTATTGAATCCTTTTTTGTGTGTGGAAAAGAAAGATTTTTTTAAAAAAACTATTCAACATATTTTATTCATATTAAAATATTTTATTTAATTTTAAAATGTTTTTATATCTCCCCTTTTGCAAATGCAAAAAAAAAAAATAAATAACCCATTTAAACACATTTTTTTAGCTTTATTGAAATATGTATTTATTTTTTTGTTTTTTTTTTTTGTATTATTTGACTTATATAGTTTGCGTTTTTGTATTTTTGCTTTTTTGTTTTGTTTTGTTTTTCATTTCGTATTCAAGCACATATGTATTTGTTTTTTTTTTGTAATTTTTTTTGTTGCATTTTTTTTTTGTGTATGTTTTACGATTTTTTTATGTTTTATATTTTATAAATAAGGATTAGTTGCTGTTCTGTTTGTTGTCTGTGCTGTTCATTTCATTGCATTGCATAAATCTCTAAACGCAAAGTATCTATCGCGGCATATCAGACGATAGACATACACATATATATTTGTATATATATTCGTTTAATAGCGTTATACATATTATAAAGTTACTATTTGTTTTCATGTTTTGCTTGTTCATTTTGTTGTTGTGTGTTGCTTAGTGTTTGTTGTTGTTTGTTGTAGTTGTATATATGTATAACATGGCTATAGTAGGACGTACTGATCCCAAATTTTGTTGTTAGCTTGTTAATTTTTTTATTTTGTTTTTTTTTTTTTGTTTTAGTAATTGAAATTCATAATTTGTTTCACAATATTTGCTCTTTGTTTCCGACACGATCTCTTTGTATTTTTTTAGTTTTATATTTTGTTTTTTACTATATATATAATATACTTTAATATTTAAAAATACATTTTTAAAAATTAATTTTTGTTATCTTTCATTAAATGGTTTCAACAGATTTGGCGCAGCAAATTACATTTGCTCTTCTACATTACTCACACGAGACTTTTTGTTTTCTTCTTTTTTTGTTAATAATTTTTGTGTGTTAGTTACAAAGTTCGTTTTCTAAATATTGTTTTTGTTTCTTTGTTTTTTATAAATAAATACGTTTTGTATATGTTAGATGTATGCATGTATATATGTGTAATAAGTTAATGCAACCCTTTGAATGCAGAACAAAAATTCGTGAAACAACATACACAGAGTTAAGATACTCGAAACTCGATTTACAGTTCCATTTGGTGTTTGAAATGTTACAAACGAAATATTAAGACTTTTTGTTTGTTTATAAATACTTCAATCTTACAATTTTTTGATTTCTTTCATCTTTTTTCTGTATACACAATCATTATTCAATATATATATACATTTATATATATATATATGCCAGTTTAACAGTAAGACTTCAATGAAGCTGTGAAAGAACAGTTTGCGAGAATAATTAGAATAGTTTTAAGAGAATATAGAGCATATATAATTAGAGAGAAAAAAAAAACTATCTACGCTTCTATGGCATATAGTGTTTTGTTACTTGTTTGTCTAATGCACATATGCAAGGATTTCGTTGCCATTATACAATAATTGTTTTCTTGTTTGTTTGCTGTTGTTTCTTATTTTCTTTTATCTCTTAATATGATTTGTTAAAGATTTCATTTTGTTTACATATGCTAAAATTAAATTAAAGCAAAACTAGTTGAAAAATAGTATACGCATACACACAATTTGGTTTCATCTCTCAGACACTTGAATTTCAGTTTTAAGCAGCGCACAACTTCAGTATAACAGAAAATACAGACTGCATTTTTATTACAATTAGGATTTTAGGGCCCTGGTTTAATGGTTAATGCGTAAGTTTACGTAAAATTTCGTTTAGTTAGATTTTTTTTTATATTTTCTTATTTGCTTTTTTGTTTTAATATTTATATATATATATCAGACACGTAGAAATTGTTTTTGGAGTTGCCGTTTAGTATTCTTCATAATTATACATATATGTATTGTGTTGTGTATGCCATATGCTTTGTTATCAATTATTATTATCGTTTCAAATAGTGTTTTGCATCTAAGTTAATGTACTTAATAAATTGTATGGTTGTTCATAATATGTTTCACAATGTAGTTGTCTGTTGTAGTTTGCATAATTGTTTTTTATTTATTTATTTATTAATTGCAGTCCATCCTGTGCACATCTGTTGCAGTTAGGGAACGGTTAATCCTTGTGTTGTTTAGCGTACAAGAATATATAAATATATATATATATATAGATATAAGTATATATAGTTGTATATGGGTGTGTATGTATGCATTGTCTTTAAATTTGCATCAATTATCTGATTTTTGGAATTACTCCACCAAAGCGCCTGCAAACAAAGTATAACAATTAATATATTTATTGGAAGACGCATAAATTGATTCCACTCACCTGGAATGCGTGGATGACGCGCAAGTATAGAAAAGCCCTTGCCCTGCGGTCCCTTAGGTGCGCGTATTAGTATCAAACGTGGCACACCATCATCGCCATTGAGCTTAAGGCGCGAGATCAGACGATCTGGACGATCGTTTATTTTCAAAACATTGCAAGCCGAAGATTTTCCATTGCGCTGTAAAAAATGTAAATAAAATATATGTTAAATAATTTTCAAAGTTAAAGATTATTCCACTTGCATGCTTACCTGATTGGTAACCACTGAGAACTCAACTGTGTCGCCTGGATGTAAAGCCACTGTACTGCCCTGCACCTCAGACATGTGAAAGAATAGTTTCTTGCCATCTTCAACCTCGAAATTGAGAAAACCAAATTGTCCTTTGATCGAGTCAACTGTGGCACGTTTCTTTTGTCGCACTGCGTTCACCTCTGCCGCCCTACCACTCTCATCGATGCGAAAGCTAACCAAATCACCCTTCTGCAACAGATCACGTTTGTTCACCAAGCTGGTTATGCCAAATTCATGCTGCGATATGATAGTGGTGCGTTGCTCATCGAGTATCTCGATCAAGCCTGCATATTCCTGCTGATCCGGATTGATGCAACGCAATGGACGCGCCACCACACCATTGTGTACGGTCTCCAGTACCGCTGGCTGTGGTATCGAGTTCTTGGGCAATGTACGCACATTCTCGGCGGGCAGGCAATTGCCCGATACAGAGGTGTTGCCATTGGGCGCCAGTGTATACTCCACCTCCTGACCCAGTTCCAGCCAATTTGGATTGCCTTGATAGTTGCTAAAGTGAAAGAAAACCTCCTCGTCATGCGACAACGTCTCGATAAATCCAAAATTCTCCTTAATCACTGCTATGAAGCCACGATACAACTGCCCGGTTGCTGCCTCCGCATTGGCATGATTATTATTTTCTAGCTTAAAGTCCTCAATTTGTGGTGTGCTAATTTGTTGAGTGGTTGCATTGCTGCCCACGCTGCTGTTGCTACTGCTGCCGCCACCAGGGCTACCATGCATTATATAACCATTCTGCATGGGACCAGTATTCGAGCCAATGCCATTTGATAGCTGCAATTGATCGTTCTGATTTAAATTGGCAGCGGGTTGCTGTTGTGCTGCTGCAGTTTGCTGATTCAAAAGTTGTTGCTGCTGTTGTTGTTGCTGTTGCAGCGATACCTGCTGCACATTGACTGCTATAAATTCCTTGTTACGTTTGACCTGCGAAAAGTTAGAGTAACACGAAATAAGATTATATTTATGACAGATAAACATAATTAAATCTAATGGCATGCTTAGATGATAATATAAATCTTATGCCATCGTCGTTAAATGCTTTGCTCGAGAGTCTTAGTTATTAGAAAATTAACTGAACAATAATAATAATCAGATTTTCTTAACTTATATTAGCATAAAATATATATAGATATAATGGTATCCTTGAAATGTAACTAACCATGTAAATATCGAAGCGCACACGCTCGCCAACTCTTGGTGGTTTTTCGCAGTCTTTGAGAAAATACATAATAGTCTTTTTAACATCGCTGTGTTCATAGGTGATGACACCACCCTCGAAGCGATCCTGAGATTTAATGGGACTTTTCGGCGCCTCGCGTGTCACGGTGCCTGCAAAGAATACCTCAAGTTAATCAACTATTTATAAAATATATGTTTAAGGTAAACGCACCCTCAATATTGCTGGCCATTAGGGTTTCGAATTGCACAGAATTGGGCGGCAAATGTTTAATGCGTATGGCCTGCAGACGGGAATTATTGTAGGCCAGACCGGGCTCTTGAATGACAGTAAATTCCACCTCATCATTGACATCAATTTCACGGCTCTAAAATTGAATTGTTTTATAAAAATATATCTTTTAATTTATTTAGCTAAACTCACCGTGTCGAGCACCTCTGTAAAGTGGAAAAATAAACGCACTTGACGATCCACGCAGCGCAAGAAACCAAAACCCTCTTTCAATGAGGCAATGGTGCCTTGTTCCCGCTTCTCGCCGGACACTTTGAACGTCTCGTCTAGCAGCGCAATGGAGGTGGCACGCTGTAACTGATCTCGCCTATCAGTGGCCAATAGAAATTGCACCCAATCGCCATGGCGCAAAGTGAAATCGCCCTTCTGATCCTTATCGCCAAATGGCACCTCCACTTCCGAGTAATCAGGTGCACGATAACGTATGCGTCCTGGCAACGGATCATTATTCTGACGTACCGCATTATTGCGATCCAGCGATTTGAGCACCTGACCCTTGTAGATGGTGCTATCGACATCCTCGAAGATGACAGAGCCGGGCGGCAACCGAGTTATATTGCAGGCAAACTCACGGCCCTGCGGTGGCACAGTGGCAGACTGCTTTGGTTAGTGAAATATGAATTGCTGTATCTAATTAATTATCTGCTCTACTTACACTCCGCGTTTGTATGGTAAACTCGACATCATCGCCGGGACGCAGCTCCACATTGCCCTCAGCCTCGGAGAAGTGAAAGAAGATCTCTTTGACCACATCGGCGCGTTCAATAAAACCAAAAGATTCCTTCATTGAGCAGACAACGCCGCGATACTTGACAGGCTGTGCCGGATTCTCCAGGCGTATGTGACAGGCGCCCAAGTTGCCTCTACAAATAGACATTAACCATATGTAATAAAATGAATATAGATTATATATTCCTGCTTACCTTTGGTTCGTAGCGATCTGAAAGCTGACTTTATCGCCAGCACGCAAATTGACATTGCCCTCAACATCGTCTTTGGTATAGGGTAAAAAGAAGCATTCGCCGCGATTCTCATAGCTAATCCGTCCCGTTGTCTCACTAGAGCTAAGCACATTGTTCGCGCTATCTGTGCGCAGCTCAGTAGTTACCGTGCCAGTGACCCGCTCTTCGGAGAGCACAACCTCTGGCGCTATCTTCGACACTTGGCTAGCAATCGGTTTGCCGGTGCGTCGATCATAGGTCATCTCAAATTCCACAGGATCGCCAATCTTTAAGTGATCAATATTGCCACTGAACTGCGAGAAATGAAAGAAAAGACGCGCTTGCCGCTCGCAGCACTGTATAAAGCCATAAGAGTGCTGCAAATTAAAAAAAAAAAATTATATAATTAGAGAAGTGATCCTTAGGTTGTCTTTAATACAGATATTACTGCTCGATTGATAGACCCACCAGTAGCTTCTCAATGATGCCAGTTTCGCGTGTTGTCTGATTCGGATCGTTTGCACCAGATGCTGTGGCCGAAGAGTTGCTCGACTGTGAGCCAAATATGGACGACGAGCTGCCAGGGCCGTTATTCAACACGCTGTTCGACTGAAAGACGCCAATTTGTGGTGGATTCTGAATGATATCGTTGACATCGTTAGCATCGAACATTCCAATGGTGGGATGTTGTTGTTGTTGCTGCTGCTGTTGTTGTTGTTGATGTTGCTGCTGCTGCTGATGATGTTGCTGTTGCTGCTGTTGTTGCATATGCTGTTGATGATGATGCATGCTCTGTTGCTGCGGTGCCATGGCCAATTGTACGGCCGTTGCTGGCGGTCCATGTGACGGCTGCAAACCCAACGTGGTGGAGTCCAACGTAAAGGTGCCAATGGTCGGAAAAGTTGTAGGTATGTTCAAGTTCAAGTTGCGTATGGCAGTAATGTCAAAGCACTGCATATTATCGTAAATTTCTGCAAGTGTGTGCGAGAGAGAGAGAGAGGAGGAAAGTGAGTAGGCAGCTAAATATATCTAACCTAGTTAGTATAAATAGACTCTAGTGTTCTATGAATATCAGCTCAGAATTAGTTTTCTTCCTTTCAAAATTATAATTCGTTCTGCACTCAACAGTTACTTAACAGTTTTTTAACATAACTCGCCACAAAGCCCTAAACTAAAAGCGTATTAATGTGCTTAGCCTGTTAGCAACAGCTTTAAATTTACATTGAATTCAGATATGCTGATTTTTAGTATAAGCAACAAGAGTCTACATTTTTATAACGTACTCTCTTCTTAATGTTATTAACAGCGCTTTAGTTGCTAAGATACTGATAACATATTCCAATTAGAATAATGTCAGTGATTCTGCCTAACATTTGCGCCCAAGGTTGTTTAACAATAGTAATGTATGTTGTTTAACAGCCTCAAACCCTACTCCAATTAGAAATATGCTCCTAACATTTGCACTCAATTCTGCTTAACATTTCTAGCGTTTCTTACCTTCGCCCGTGCGATATCCTTTGGATTGCGTATTCATATTGTTAATTAATTTGAATTGGCTTTGTTTTGGATGATAGAGAAAATGCTGATAGCGACTAGCACAAGGAGACTGGTTGTTGTTGTTGTTGTTGTTATAGTGGCTTAAATGTTTATTGTTGTTGATGACGAGAATGTTGAATGATTTAAAAGAGAGAGAGCGTGTTTTTTGTTTTTGTTTTGGGAACAGTTAAAAAATTAAACTGCTTCCGGTTTGGAATTATTATATTTTATTATTTTTTTAATTTTTATTTTTCGATTTTTTGTGTAATTTTTTTTTATATCAAAGAGAAAAAACTAAGCAATAAATACGTATTTTTTTGTTTTTGTTTTTGTGTATATATATTTTGGCTAAACACTGGCACAAGAGGCACTGAAATTCCTTGTCTTCGAAGTTAATAAAGAAACAATCATTTGTTTGTTGTTGTTGTTGTGGGTGGTCAACTTGCTTCGATTTATATATAATTTATAATTATTATTTTGGGGGCAAGCCCCGTCGAAACGTATGTAAAAATGCCGTTTAAATTTAATGGTTTTTCTTTATTAATTATTAATTTCTGTTATTTATTTATGCTTTAAAAAATATATATATATTCGTATTTGTATTCTGATGAAAATGCATTAGCAGCTGTAAGCTGCCGTTGGTTGGTTGTTGTAGTTAAATGAATAAACATTAATTGTTGTTATTGTTTTTTTTTTTTTTTTAACTATTTATTGCGTTTCGTTTTTTTTTATTATTTTCTTTTTAGTTTTACTAGAAAAATACACTGGGGCGCTTTGTTGAATACTTTTTAACTTTTATTTTTGTTTTTTTTTTTCGATTATTTTAGTTTAGTTTGATATTAAATTATTTGATTTGCTTTTTATTTTGTTTGTTTGAGGGATTTTTTTTGTTGGAGGGGAAGTGATTAATATGTTTGCTTTTGTTTTGTTTTTATTTACTTTAATATACATTTATATACTATATATATATTTTGTAGGCAATCGTTGTGGTTTTTTAATTTTTTATTTAGGAAGTATTAGTGATTTATTTTTAATTTTTTTTGCTTGGTACACCCTAATGCGCTCACTCGCTCTATCCCTCTCTCTCGCTCTCGGTCTGTCTCTCTCCTGCTTGGCGCTTCAAAGTTTGGTTTGGGGCTGCTCTACAAGTGTTCCGTTATGTTTTTCGCTGTATTTAGTTGGTGTTGTTGCTATTACTTTTCGTTTACACGTTTTGTATATTGTTTATTGCTGTTTCGTTTACTATTCACTATGCACATTATTATGAATTGTTATTTATAGTTTATATATATATATATATATATATATATATATATATATATATAATATATATAGATACTCTTTGTTTTTTTTCTGCAGTTTTCATTTACTATTTTTGAACTTTAAGCCTACGGTTTTTTGTTTTGTTTTGTTATTTATATATATATATATTTATATATATATATATATATATATATATATTCATATTTTGAATGCGCGTTTTTTGTTGAAAGTCTTTTTTTAACCTAGGGTTGTTTTTTATTTTTTGCTTTTTGTGTTTGTTGTATTTTCACTTATTTTTGTTTTGTTTTTTTTTTTACTTATTTACTTAAAGTTTATATAATATAATATATAATATACTATAGTATATATGTATCGAAGTCCTTTAAGATATCACGAATTTGTTTCAATGTTTTTTATCTTTTAATTTGCATTTGCTCTTATGTATAAAGTGGTTGTTGTTGTTTTTCTTTCTGTTTAAGATTTTCGTACTTCTTCTACCTCGTTTTTCTATTGTTAAAAATTACAATGTTCTTCTATTTAGTATTCATTTTTTGTTGTTTCTTATTAATGCTTAGAGATTTTTTTGTTTTTTTTTTTCTTTTTGTATTTATTTATATTTATAAATTTACAGTAATTATCACAGAGTTGTTAAATCTTTCTTTGAATTTGTTTTTTTTTTGTTTTTTTGTTGTTTTGTTTAGTTGCTTTTAATCGTTATCGCATTTAGACTTTTAACATTTCTCACTAGGTACACTTATAAAAAAAATGAAAACTATTTAAAATTAAAAAATTGTTTGTTTTTAAAAATAAAAAACTGTTCTGGGGTTTTCGGGCACGCAGGCCGCGCAGTTTTTTTTTTTTAATTTCTGTTTTGCTTCTTATTTGTTTTATTGTTTTAGCTGGGCTTTGTTGAATTTCATTTATTTACAAATTTTTGTTTTTATTGGCTAAGTTGCGGTTGATTTTTTTGTTTTATTAATTTTGTGTTACTCAGTTGTTTTTGTTGCTGGGGTCTTTATATTGTGTGTTTTTTGCTTTGTTGTTGTAAAAATTACTTAAAATTAATAGAATTCTTGTAGATTTTTGGTTTTAAATGTTTTTCTTTATTGTTACCGTTTTTAGTTGCTCGATTTTTTTATATTTTTATTTTTATTTTTTTTTTTTTTTTGCTGTTTTTAGTTCATTTTTTGCTTTGCTTTATTTTTCTCTTTTTCTTGCGGCACAATTGTTGCTTTATAGTTTATTCTTTTCTGTTCTTGAACAAGGCGGAACTTTCTAACGGTGGCTCTCTCCTTCTCTCGATCGCACCGTTACTTAGTGTGAGCTCTCCCCTCTCTTGCGCTCTATCCACTACTCCCTCTCTCTCTCTCTTGCACTTTTTCACTCGGCCACCGCACGACTGGCGACAAAGTTTTCGTTTGTGTTTTTGTTTTTGCTTATAGACTATAATATTTTGTTGTTTCTTTTGTTTATTAAATAAGTTAAATTGATGTTGCGTTTAAATAAAATGTTTGTTTTTTAATATTGTTTAAATTAGTTGTTGTTTTTGTTTTTCTCTCTTTTACTCCCGGTTATTTTGTACTTTAAAACTTTAATTCAGTTATTTGTTGGTAGTTGTTGTTGTTGGTGTTGCTTTTGCTGTTTGTGTTGCTCTCGCTTCGCTTTGCTTTGTTCCTGTTGTTGTTTTTGATGTTGGTGTTGTAGTAGTAGAGGCGGCGTTTTTTGTTGTCTTAATTTTAAATAATTTTTTTGTAGCAAATTGAATTCACTTTTGACTTAACAAAAATTCGTAATTAAATTAAAGCTTTCAGGAAAATAAATGAGGAATTTTGGGATTGTTTAACGGTTGTTGGTGTTGGTGTTGATTTTTCTTTCAGTTATTCGAGTTTAACGTCAACGCCAACGCCTCAGCGTTGCGTTTGTAGCTGCTAGTGCTAGGCAGTTCTTGTTAATTATTATTATTATTTTTGTTTAGTGCGTGCGTGTGTTATTTTATTTTTTAGACCTCAACTCCGTTTTACTTTAGTTGATTTCTCTTTGTAGCTTGTTTTTTGTTTTTCCTTTTTTATGTTGTTGCTTTGAGTATTGACGAGTTAATTTCACAGCGTTTGAATTTTGTTTGGTTTTTGTTGTTGGTTTTGAAAGTCTTCGTTTTAAGCTTGGCTTGTTTTGTTGTTAATTTTTTTTGCACAGATGCGCAGTCGCTATGTCGTCTCTTTTTCTCTCTCTATCGCTCTCGCTCACACCCGCTAACAGACGCTCGCCGCAGTCGGCGACGTTTCCCCCTTTTATTTTTTCTTTTTTGTTTGCTTTTTACAGTCTTTTTGCTAATCTTGTAGACTTTTTATGTGAGCTTTTTCGGCATGCAGTTGTAGAGTTTTGAAGCGAATTTGCAAACGAAAACAAAGGAAATTTTCAAAACTAAAAGTTTATGGCAGATGCCCCTCCGGTTATTAAACGCCTCTTAGACTTTTTGAGCTTTGTTGTTTTAGTTGTTGTTGATTTGTTTGTTTGTTTTATTGGTATGTAACTTGGTATTTTTGTTGTAGTTGTTTTTATTAGATGATTTATTATTATTTGCTTTTTGATTCGTTTTCGATGGTTTTTTATTATTATTATTATTTTATTCAGATTATGATGAAAGTGATGTCAAAACGGAGTTTTAGTTACAAAAGCTGCAATGAGAAGAAAGTTCCCAAATTTAGTACTCATACATACGCATATAGATGTTTTTGTTTTAATAGAGCGGCCCCTGTTGAGTGACAGCCACCCAGTGAAATCTACACCAAAAAGTCTGCATTGTTGTTGCTATTGCTACTGCTGCATTTTTATTGATTTTTAGTGTTGCAAACCGGAGACTCGTACAATTCGCATACAAACACATACACTCCATTCGCGCACACACTGACACGCACACAGCAGCTGCATAGAGATTTTACTATTGTAATGCCCCCACCACTATCGCAAAGTACCGGAAAAAATTGCACGCACACCTACACAGGGACACCGATGCAAACGAAAAACGGATTGAAGGCATTTTGTAAACTATTTTTACACATTTTTGTTATGGGTTTTAGCAGCCAACTGTACAGACACACACATTTACAGGCACACACATATACATGCCAAGTCGGTAGCAAAAGTTTTTTTTTTTCAAGATTTTTCGGCCTGCAAATTGCGTACCCTTCGCACAGACAGTTGCGGAAAACTCATCAAATACACTTAAATGCAATGCCCAAGGCTACGTTTTATGTTCAATCACAAGCATATTGGTTGGAACACATTTTGTGCATATTTTCATAGCGAATTTGAGTTAATTTATTGGCTAATTTGAACAAAAGAAAATTTTCACAACTAGCAATACGTACCACACGACACAGCACAACACCGGACGCCATGTTGGTTAGTGTTGGTGAACGTTTTACAGAAATTGCAGAACAATTGTGACGTCAGCTTACAATATTTATTAAAAATATATGAGTTTTAAGCAAACAACTAACTTTTTAAATTAATTATTATCAGTGTATTATATTGATTATCTAATAAATTTAACAACTATTTAAATTTTGCCATTTGCTTGCGCTGTACAACACTGCCAGCCGCTAGTTCACCAGCCCTGGTCAACTATCGAATCCGAGCACTGCCTTCAATTATTAGCTGAAAATCGAAATTTCACAATAGCGCACCGTAAAATCTAAAAGTTTTTTTTTTTGTTTTTAAAGCCATAACTTAAAACAACATTGTGCTATATGAGGCGCCCGGTTTTAGCTCCATGCAATAACTCAATAGTGGCTTCAAAATTGACAAGTGTTACAGTAGCATAAAATAACGGTGTGTGCTTGTCGTTATTTAACCTAAAGAAAACCTACTTAGCCCCACCTCCCGCCTCCATAGACAAAACCAAAGAGCGAAATGGCTTTCCGGCTCCTTAGCTCGGCGACGGCAATAAAAAGCCTGATGAAACGCAGCTACACCCAGTCACCGCTAACGACAAAGGTAGATCAAAAGATGAATTCTTTAAAGATATCATAAATCTTTAATAATATAAATATATTCATGTAGTTACAGCATAGGGGCGCCTCATTTGAGTTGACTCCACTTGTGCGATACATTGTGGAGCAGCTTCAACTGTTGTGCAAAAAGCCACCCAAGGGCTTCGAAAAGTATTTCGAAGCCGGTGGTAAATCGGGAAAGCCAAAAACAACCGCCGAGGGGGATAAAAAGACAAGCAGCAAGCAACCGAGTAGCAGCAGCAACAGTAGCGGCAGCAGCAGTAAATCAAAACCGCCCACTATGAAATCCAGCACTTCCAGCGATCCAAAATCGGATTGGAATTTTGGCATGTTCAGTAACAGCTCACGTGGCCCGGCTGCGCGTGGACCGGGTACACCGAGCGGTCGTCCTCTTGGTGAAGGCGGCGGTGGCGAACGCGAACGTTGGATACTGTTTGGCGCCATTGGCGCGGTTGTATTGATTGCTTCGTTTGCGTTCTTTGAAATGGGCTACAAAGAGATCTCCTGGAAGGAGTTTGTCAACAGGTGCGAAAGCTGAAGTGGAATTTCATCAGAATATCTAAATGATTGCATCATCATTTCAATTTTATATTCGTTTTTATAACTTCAACTGATTATGTAATCTAATGAAAATCTATTGCTCTGTGTATCCAGCTACCTTTCCAAGGGCGCCGTCGAAAAACTGGAAGTGGTTAACAAAAAGTGGGTGCGCGTGCGTCTGCAGCCCAGCCAGAGCAGCAGTGGTGTGTTATGGTTTAACATTGGGAGCGTTGACTCGTTTGAGCGAAATTTAGAGACAGCACAGACAGAACAAGGTGTGGAGTCCATCAACTTTGTGCCTGTCATCTATCGCAACGAAGTGGAAGCATCCAGTTTAACTGGTCTACTACCAACGCTCCTAATCATCGGCTTCCTTGTCTATATGATGCGCAAGTCGGCTGATATGATGGGCGCTGGACGTGGACGCAAGGGCGGCGGTCTATTTGGCGGTGTTATGCAATCGACAGCGAAGCTAATCAATCCCACAGAGATTGGAGTCGGCTTCAAGTGAGCTCGTTAAATTACTTAATTGATATCTTACCAACGTGTTTTCTATCTTTTGCAGAGATGTGGCTGGCTGTGAGGAGGCAAAAATTGAAATTATGGAATTTGTTAATTTCTTAAAGAATCCGCAACAGTATATCGATCTGGGCGCTAAGATACCGAAGGGTGCCATGTTAACCGGTCCACCTGGTACGGGTAAAACTCTCCTAGCCAAGGCAACAGCTGGCGAGGCGAATGTACCATTTATCACCGTCTCTGGCTCGGAGTTTCTAGAGATGTTTGTCGGCGTGGGTCCGTCCCGAGTCCGAGATATGTTTGCCATGGCTCGTAAACATGCACCCTGCATTTTGTTCATTGACGAAATCGACGCTGTGGGCCGCAAACGCGGTGGCAAGACCTTTGGCGGACATTCGGAGCAGGAGAATACATTGAATCAGCTGCTGGTCGAAATGGATGGCTTTAACACGACAACCAATGTCGTAGTTCTGGCAGCCACTAATCGCGTGGATATTCTGGATAAGGCTTTAATGCGACCGGGTCGCTTCGATCGTCAGATCTATGTGCCGGCGCCCGATATCAAGGGGCGTGCCAGCATATTTAAAGTGCATCTTGGCTCACTCAAGACAGATCTGGACAAGAATGGTCTGTCCCGTAAAATGGCGGCGTTGACGCCCGGTTTTACTGGAGCGGATATAGCGAACGTTTGCAATGAGGCGGCGTTGATTGCGGCGCGCGATTCAAAGGACTCCATTGTGTTGAAGCATTTCGAGCAGGCCATCGAGCGTGTCATCGCGGGTATGGAGAAGAAGACGAACGTCTTGGCACCTGAGGAGAAACGGACGGTGGCTCACCATGAGGCGGGGCATGCGGTTGCTGGCTGGTTCCTCGAGCATGCTGATCCGTTGCTTAAGGTATCGATCATACCACGCGGCAAGGGTCTTGGCTATGCTCAGTATTTGCCAAAGGATCATTATTTACTGTCCAAGGAGCAGCTCTTTGATCGCATGTGCATGACCCTGGGAGGTCGCGTAGCTGAGGAATTGTTCTTTAATCGCATCACAACGGGTGCGCAGGATGATCTAAAGAAGATCACAGACATTGCCTACTCGCAGGTGGTGCGATTTGGCATGAACGAAAAGGTCGGCCAGGTTAGCTTTGATGTGGGTCAAGCAGGTGACCCGGTGTTTAGTAAACCTTACTCCGAGGATACGGCCATGATGATCGATGGCGAGGTGAGAGACATTATTAAATGTGCGCACACAACAACAACCGAACTGCTGGTCAAGCACAAGGAGGATGTTCGTCGTGTGGCCGAGCGTTTGCTGCAGAACGAAGTGCTCAGTCGTGACGATATGATCGAGCTGCTGGGACCGCGTCCATTTAAGGACAAGTCCACGTATGAAGAGTTTGTTGAGGGCACCGGCTCCTTTGAGGAGGATACCACGCTGCCCGAGGGTCTGAAGAGCTGGAATAAGGAAAAAGAGGAGCCCGCCAGTACAGACACAACGGACTCAACACCACCAACGAAGCCGGCGACTGCTTCCAGCTAGACGTAGCTAAATCTGCATCGTCGTCGCCGTCGTCGTCTCTATATTTTAGTGGCTGTTGTTATCATTGTTGTAGTCTAAGCAGATCATTTAAGAAATGTGGACTTCGACTTGAATAGCTGAAATTCACGACGTGCTTTAAAAATAATTCAAACGAAATCTTTTGCTTTCCTAATACCCTAAAAAACAAAAGAAATTCCTACAATTTCATTTTACAGCGTTTTTCCTAGAAGTTTCAAACAGTTTTTGATTGATTGGTATTTTGTATAATGAACAGAAATATTTCAAACAGATTCTGGGTGTAAGCTAATGGTCCCAAATTAACCGTATGCTAACAAAAAGAAAAACGAAAAAAAAACTTATATAATGCAATAAAATCTTCACAAATTTTCGAAAAATTAACAACAATACAAAATTAAAAAAAAAGCCAGTGAATCTATGGAGTACGAGGGATTATGAAGAGCAAAACATGTACAATTTCAATCTGTTTGGCTAAACAACAAATTGATTTATTTACAAATAATATATAATAAATATAATCCGAATCTTTTAGGTAAACATATTTATATTCACTCAAAATTTTAACTAAATCGAATTAGTTGCTTTGGAGGAGCTTTGCGAACTCAAAAAGGAATAACTTTTTAAAATCGGACTTCATTTATTCTACTTATGCCCATTTAAAGTTACAAAAAATATTTTCGGAATATATAGAAAAACGTTTTGTAATCTTAGAGCTGAACTATCGATTGACATTAAAAATTGAATTCAATCAAAGCTACGTAAAGCTTTCGCTTTAAAAATGTGCACAGTATGAGCTTTGAAAGCTTCAGCATAAAACATATAATGCAAGCGATTGTGTCGCTCTTAAATGTAAACTATGCGCTCTTAAGTGGCGGCCCGCTCTCTCACTCATACACATGCAGACGCACGAGCGCTCTCTGCACTGCTTATCACTTATCAGCTGTGTGCTGACTTTTCGGCATGATGCAGCCGGCTGGCTGGTGCAATGTGAACATTTCGCACACACATACATACGGCCGCACGCTGTCGCTGTCGACGTCGCGGCCAAAGCTTTGCTCAACTACTACGAACCACTACAAATGCAGCGTGTGCTACTGTGACCCGCCGCCGCTGCCGTCGCTGCTGCTGCTGCTGCCTCAGTGTCAGTGTGTTGTTTGGGGGCTTCAGCTACGTTGGGGCTGGCTGCCGTGGCCGTGTCTCAGTGTCGTCTTGTTGGTTGTCGCGTTCGTGTGCGCGCACAAAATCAGCAGCAGCAGCAAACGCAGCAGCAACAGCAAGCAGCGCAGCAATTGCAATCGAATAAAGAATATATAAAAATTTAGCTAGCTCGTTGCAGTTGTTGCAAGTGAAGTGCGTGCCAGTAACGGCATAAACAACAACAACAATAACAAAAAATAATTTGTTTATTTTTTGAGGCGGGCGCGCAGGGCATTGTGTCAATGCAAAATTGACGATTATATAAAAGTGCGCGGCATTCAATTCTAATTACAAACAAACGGCAAATAAAGTGCAATTTGACTATATATATACATGTGTGTGTGTGTGCTTGGCTGTGAATGTTTGTGTGAGAGATGGCAAAGTGTGTTTGGTTTTTCAGGCCAAGTGTTTGTTAGGCCGGAAATAAATAAAAGGCAGCGACAGCTCTGCCCACACCAAGAGCCAACAGCCAACAGCAAGCGGCAAACAGCTTTTTGTCGATCGCACGTGCAAAATGGCGGCCGGCCGGCAAAGTCACTAAACCTACAAGAATGCTAGCCAGGAGCTGAAACTGAAACTCTCCACACACACACACACTGACATCCATACATAAATATTTACGTGCCGATCGTGGCGCCAACTGGCGGCAGTTTTGTGCACTCGATCACATTTTATAATTTTCGTTTGATTTTCGCAGCGAATTTTTCTGCTGCCGCTGCTGCCAATTGTCACAATTGGCGGGTCACGTGTTTGCTGCCGCCGCCAGTTAACTTCTGCTCTCGTTGTAACGGTGCATGTACCGTAACAGCTAGCTCCCCACCCACTGCCTGTGTGTGTGTGTGTGTTTGTGTGTCGCTTGCATGCTGCGCGTTATTATAAAGCTCAATGTTGTTGCCGTTGTTGCTGCTTTGGGGAGTCAACACGCTGTCCCCATTGCATGCAATACTCTGTTTACATATGTATATGCATAAACCTACATACGGCTGTGTGTGTGCGTGTGGGTGTGGGAAAGATCAAGGCGTGTATTGCAAAAACAATGGCAACAACAACAAAAAGTGCATTGCTATGAAATCGCTTTCGTTTGCACACTTTTGCGAAATGTTTTTTTTTTGTGTTTCATAGAAGGCAGCTTGTTAAAGGATTTAACACAGAGTAAATTCTAAGGGCAGCTTATGCACAGCAAATGCCATAGCAGTTAATCAGCAGTGTTGTAAAGTGCTTATATTTTTTCTTTAAAGCTTAAGCTTAGCTTGATATTAGAGTCAGGGGAGCTTTTGAGCTAACAGAGGCGAAGGCGAAGGCATTCACAAATGCATATCAAGCAGCTGTTTGAGAAGCGCATAGAAGAGCATCGTTGCTTATTTAAAGACCTTTTGAACTATATTTGCATTTTTAAACAAACAAAAAAAATGCTTGAAACAGCAATACTCTTTGTAACATATCTAGCTACAGAGCCACAAACTCGTCCCCGCACTCCGCACAGTTGTTTGAACTTTACGATTTTACGTTTCGAATCATTTGAAATTTACGGCCAGAGGCTATCGACTACAGCTGCTTAGAAATTGCAATTTGTTTTAGGTTTCAGCCAATTTGATGGCGTGATTTGGTTTTTGTTTTTATTTTTATGTTTTTGTTTTTTTTTTGTTATATTTTCTCTCCATATATACAATATATATTTGCAGTAATATGTTGCCTTCAAAACAATTAAAACAACAATAGTTAACGCAACGTTTCTAAAAACATTTCTCAAATAATTAAACTAAGAAAACGTAAATTACACAAAATAAGAAAAAACTTTAACTTTGTTAACCAAAAGTGGCCTGCAAAACGAAGCAACAACCCAGAAATGTGATTCAAAGTGCGCAATGTAACAAAAAACGTAAACAATTTTGTTTTGGATAAACAAAATAGTAAATAAAGCCAACAAAAATACAAATAATTATACAAATAAATACCAACAACAACAAATGGAACTCGCGCGAGCGGCCATTGTCAATGATTAAAACGGAGAGTTAGATTGATAGCTCGCAACGTCGCCGTCGCCGGATTCGCCGTCGTCTTAGTTAGCATTAGACGTAGACACACACACATACCAACACACATACACCCACACAACCCTCTTCAATGCAGCAGCTACAGTCGCATCAACAGTTTTTAGAACATTAGTCCAAAGCACACACAGTTCCAGAGCAGCCAGAGCTAGACAGCGAGCAGCATAAACATAGCGAGAGGAAAAGAGAAAGACCGCGGGAGAGTGAGCGAAAGCGATTTAGCCACCATGGACATCAAGATTGAGCAGCAACAGCAGCAGCAGCAGCAGCAGCAACAACAACAACAACAGCAGCAGCAGCAGCAACAAACGGAGCTGGGACCCGTTTCGCCTTCGGAGGTGCCAAATGATCCTGGGTAAGTGTCGACGTGAGCGTGGCATTAATTGTTTTAGTTGTGTATACCCTGTAAATCAAATTGAAAGGAAGGGTGTACGGATGTGCTTGGGCAACTCGCAAAACATTACGTTCTAAATAGTTGGAAGGCAGCTGAGTTTATATATCCTTATGAGTCTCTCAGTTTAATTGAGTTTTTTTAGTGTTTCGCTATATCCTGGAATGCAAATATTTATATCATTAGAGAGCATGTGGTTATAGGGTTTCAATCATATTATTTATCAATTTGCCTATAATAATTGTACTTTGGCGCATGCAATTTCGGGATAATCAATTTTGGGACATGTTTTTGGGCCATTATCTTGAAACACGATTTTGGGACATGATTTTGGGACAAAAGATTTTGGGACATTATTTTGGGACAAAAGATTTTGGGACATAAACAATCAATTTGGGACATGCGATTTTAGACATGCTTTTGGGACATTATTTTGGAAAAAAAATTTGCGATACGACTTTGGGACAGATTATATTGGAACAACGAATTACGGCTGAAAATCCAGTACTTTGAGACAGAAGATATTGGGATATAAACTTTTGGGATATATGATTTTGGTACTTAGAAGTTTTGAAAAGTTGCCTTTTGGGACAAATTAATGGGATACACGGTTTTGGGCTCTTATTTTGGGACATCATTTTGGGACATGATTTTGGGACAAAAGATTTTGGGACAAAATATTTTGGGACATGATTTTGGGACAAAAGATTTTGTGACATGATTTTGGGACAAAAGATTTTGGGACATGAGATTTTGAAATATACGTTTTTGGCACACCATATTTAGGACGTTCAATTTTCTCTTTTTTCTTATATATACATATGTAACTATATCAATTGTGTTGTAAAGATAAATAAGGATGGTTTTTATTTCTAGTTATGGGAAAAAATACTTTCAAATTTGAAGTTCCATACTCTGAGCTTACGACTCTACAAAGAAGAGTAGGCCAATTCCGAAATGCAATAACTCGAGTGGACACTTAGCTGTATGCAGGGTATCATGGGGTCAATCAATCGACTCCCATTCATTCTTGCTTGTTTTACTTTTAAGTTGTCATTATTGAAGCCAAGTGCGAAACGCCCACGCGACTGAAGTGCAGCCTCCCAGGCGACAAGCGGGGAGTGTGAAAGAACTGTTGACAGAAAGTTTTTCTGTGTCAACTGCCCAGCCGGATGAGATAGACTAAGCGCCAACTCCCCCACAGCGTTGCCCCAACTCGTTCTGGTCACGCTGCTGGCTAGCCCTGGGCTAGGGCCACGCTGAAACTAATTAGAAAACAATTTGCTAAGGACATCAAAATTCAATTAAAGCCATTGAGTTTAGTGCTTTAGTAGACTGCAGTTGCAGTTGCAGTTGAAGTTGCTAACTGTAAAGCATGACCCCCGCCACCAAAGCTCGCCCTCGACCTCGTTTTGGCAACAGTTTATTATCGTTTCGGGGGGCGCCTGTGAAATGGGTTAAGTTGTGATTGCGGTGTCATATGCAGCAGATTAATTGCAAGCTGCATTGCTGATAATTTGCATCAGTTGCGCATTTTGGGCGCAAAACTGTCAGAAAGTCAGACAACGGCAAATGAATGGCAAATGATTGGCACTAAACTGAGCTAAATGAGCTGCCCGAACGATATTGAGAGCGGAGGAAAGAGTCAGAGAGACACAGAGAGGGCAGACTCTAAGAGCTTGAAGGCTAACGGAGAGCCAAGTGTGAAATAAACAAAATATATTTAGGTGTCTGACAACGGTCAATGATGCCAGCTAATGTGTTTGAGTAGCGCAAAGAAGGGCGCATTAGGCGACAGCATTTGAATGAGGGAAGGCAAGAGCAGTGAAGAGGGAGAGAGAGAGTGAAGGGGCGAAGAGAAAGGAAGGAAAAGAGAAATAGGTAAAGTGAGAGCGAGAGAGATAGAGAATGAGAGATAATGAGGGGCAGATAGAGAGTGAGGAAGACAGTCAGAGACTGGGTGAGAGAGGGAGAGACAGAGAGATGAGTGTTATGAGAGAAGGAGATCCTTAGAGAAAAAGAGAGAGCAGGAGATAGAAGTAGAGATGGAGACAGAAATAGCGAGAAAGCAGAAGAAATAGACAGAAAGAGAGAGTAAGGGACGGACAATGACAGAGAGAGACAGAGAGAGAGAGAGAGAGAGAGTGAGAGAGAGAAAGAGAGTGCGCTAGAAAGAAAGAGCTGCTTATATAGACAGATCGCTTGACAGCTAAAAGTTGATGCAAACAAACAACTATATAGACAGAAAGAGAGGGAAAGAGAGAGAGAGCTGGAGTAAAAGGCTGGCAAAGCAAAGCTTATTAAAGTAATAAAAAATTAATTTAATTAAGACATGGAAGCAGAAGTCATTTGAAGCATTGGCTTGAGTTCAAACATTATGAATTATCTGGCAGCACTTCAGATTTCAGTTTCAGTTCCAGCGAATTGCGCACAGTAATCAGCATCTACATCTGCAACTGCCACTGCAACTGCAACTGCAACTGGGCCGCTTTCCATGTGGATGCCGCTGTTGCTTCTGCTGCTGCTGCTGCTGCTACTGATGCAGTTCGCCTTTTGCCTTTTGCCATATGGCCAAAGCGCTGTCGCCGTCGTCGCAACCCATTGAACACGCAAAGCCTATAAATTATGCAGTTTCCTACTTATATAGCATGCACCTATATCTCTCGATATGTATATATATATATATGAATATGAATATATAGTTATATATATATATGTATTTGTGGAACTTGTGTGTATATATATCTATTATCGAAGCGCTGCAAATTGTATAACTCGAGCGCATTTCAGCACTCCTCAAAAGGCTGCCACTGAGCTGGCCCCTAGCTCATCTTGTCTAACTGCATTAGTTGCCAAACTCACACACACACGCACACACACACACTCGCACACACTCGAAAATAGGCTCTTTTCGGGGCACAAAGCGAAGAGTCGGCACTAGCTACCGGATAAAAGAAATGGATCACCTGCTGCTGGCAGCTCCACGCTTGACGTTGACGTCGACGTCGACGTCGACAGCAACAGCAACAGCGACAGCGACGGTGGCAGGTGCAACAGGCAACGTCTGCGATGGCGGCGCGAATGGCAAATGCAGCACCTAGCGCATGTTGAATGCATAAATCTTGAATTAATGTAAAATACCTTTTGATGACGCTGCTTGATGCACACATACACGCACGCACACACACACACACACGGTCGTCGTCTGAGATACAGATACAAATGTATCTTTTAGCGCAAAGCGTTGTGCAACATTGCGAATACAATTCCATTCACAGTTTCTTTCGCTTGCCGCGGGCCGGCGATCGCAGCTCGTTACGGCTCAGTAAATTTGTACGTCCTATTCACTGTAGGCCCCCACTTTAACTGCACATCCACCCTGCCCCTGCCCCTGTCCCTGCCCCTGCTCGCAGTGTTTACCTAGTCGGCTAGTTTATAAATCTTTTGAAGGGCCCTAACGAAAAGATTTGCTGGCAACGCGCAAAAACGGCAAAGTAAATAAACACAAAATGCAAAATGAATAAAAAAGAAAAACAACAAATATATTTATATATATAAATATATATATATATATATATATATATATATATATATATATATATATATATATATATATATATATATATATATATATATATACATATGGAAATAAAAATAAAAATAAATAAAAACAGAGAAGCACCAAAAGTAAAACAACATAGAAAGAAATAACTAAATAAATGCCCTGCTATTAATACAATTCACTTTGCCAAGGTATTTTTAGTGCAACAACAGAAGCAAGTGAGACTCGCGGCGACAAGTAAATGACAGACTATACGAGTACCCTGTAAACTATATTTTGTACAATTTTTATAGTATGTATATAGATATATATATTTAACTTAATTTTATTAATTTATATATTTAAAAAAATAATTGAAATAAATGCAAAAATTAATATTCTTAAAAATTATAAATATATTTAGATATAAATATGTTATTCTTTTTAAAAATTATTTATACAAAAATTGGTAATTATTAATTTAAGTAGTTACATTTAACTGAAGTAAAGCCTAACAATTTATTGCAGCTTTATTTTTAAATTTTTATTTTATATATTATTTTTATTTATTATATTTTCAAACATTCCTAATTAAATTTACAATTATTGTTACACTTAATTTAAAGTCAAATTTATCGCGATTCGGGGCACTCGCTTTATGGCTTACAGGGTATATAAAATGAGCTACGACTGGCATGCGACTTCGACAATTATCTATTACAACTGACACGCGGGTCCAAAAAAAAAAACAAAATAAAAATATAAAAAAGTGTTAGGGAGTAACCGACTATGAAGTGCTTGTTCTAGCTGTGCAAAACTCTGAATTGTAATTAATCATACAATTCAAATACCACATTCAACATTGAAACTATGGAGCATATAGGTTCTACGTCTCTTGAGTGTCAATTTATTGAGCAGCTTTTTTACTTTGGATCTCTAAAATGAATCTCTAAAATTGTTGAGTTAAAGGTAGTTTCTTTTATATTTCAAAGTCTCCTTATATGTTCTCAGTGTTTCAGGCTATAGTAATATCTAACTTGCCATGCCCCAAAGGGCGTACTCTACCATGACCATATATTTTATATTTCAAATCTCTAGCTTTAAGAGCTAACGCACAATGGATCTGTCTGTTTGCTCTTGAAGCTACCGGGCCACACAATAAGAATTTTGCACAATAGCCCATATACTCCTTTGCGCAGTTCGAGCGAGTATTCGAAATATAAATAAAGAAAACAAAAGGCAACAACTCGCAGTGTCGCAAAGTTTGCGGTTTCTTCTCGTCGACGTCGTCGTTGTTGTCGTCGGCTCTGGCTAAGTCCACGGCCCCCACCGCCTGCTGCACGGCCCGTCGCATCATTTAACGCGTGTGCCGGGCCCAAAAAACAAAAAAAAAAAAAAAAAAACAGAAACGAAACAACTGCAA